ATCTCAAAACTATTAATTATTTAAATTGCACCCATGGAGTTTATAAATATAAAATAGGTAAATATTGCTCAACTTTAACATCGATATAACTTTAAATAATTAGAAATGGGTACTTTTTGCAATATAAAAAAACTGCACCCTATTTCAATATAATAGACTAATTGACTAATTTTAGAAAACCATTTTAAATGATTCTATATTCAATAATTACACACTACATTGATATTTCCGGGAGATCTACTGTATTAACAATAAAAATCAAAGTTAAAATTTAAATTTCCAAAACCTCGCCATAAACGCTGATTCTGTAACATGTGTGACATCACACACATATAAACAAGTCAATAACCGTAATAAAACAATGCCGCTGAAGTGATTTGTTACATTCTTACGTGGTAGAGCCATGCTGCAGCTATATTAATAGTATTGTTGTAGCACGAATGGGTCGGCTCGACCGGGGAAGGACCACGTTCTCTCAGAATACCAGTGTAAAATAGTTGCTCAATGCTGCTGTGTTTCGTATGGTGAGTGTAGAGAACCGGAGACAGATTTTACTGGAAAAGAGGCATTCTATCTTAGTCCTCACGGCTGACAACGCATCTGCATTTTAACTCGCAAACGACGATAGATGTAGATATCTATGGTCACAGCAAGCACTTACCATCAGGAGGACTGCGCGCTCGTTTGTCACCCTTATCCTATAAAAAAATCATAAAAAAATTAATGTTTTAAGATCTTTTATATAAAGTAATAACATCTTTAATATGGCTTAATCTTACATCATAAGTTGGAAGGATACTTTTCAACAAAACCCTACAGGGTTCCCTATAGGGTTTCAAATGTTTTCTGTTAGGTTGTTTCGCTTCTTTTATTGTTTTCTATGCTGTCTTGTAATGTATTTTGTCTTGTCAAACATAATAAAGATACTTCACTTGTTATATCAACAATAATGTTAAATTTCTAAGTATATCAATATAAGCTAAAATGAGATTTTACAAAACTTCTGAATGATTATTTTATACAGAATGTCCCAGTAATGGTCGATAATCTGGTACGTACGATTCGGGCGGGGGGAGGTGGCTTCAGTACTCTAAAAAATAATTCTACCCCGAACGGTTCGCGCTCTACGCCATGTTTTATAAAATTCCGAAAATTCTTACTTCTCACATTTGTGGTCATCACGTCCACAGTTTAATGCCTAGATCGGATTTTTTTTCTTTTAATGTATTCTTTAATAATGATGTTCCTAAATTACCCTTAAAAGTTTTTAACTACTATGTGTAGTATTTTACAAGACGGCACTAAACATAAGTTTAAATTTTTTACTTTATTTATCTGCTAAGTTTGAGCACCTTTGGTGAAAAAAAAACTTATGGGATCTGTGTGGCCAATCATTTAAAAAGTTTGTCTACATGATGAGGATTATAAAACATCAGTATATTATGTACTTTATATCATTACTTACTGAGCTATAACCGGTAATGTGTAAAAGTAGGCATTTCATTACAAAATTACAAAATTATTGGCAGATAGTTTTTTTAACATTGCATGTCTTTATTAGGTAAAAGTACATCTGTCGCCCTTGAAAATTATACTTTACTACCTACTCGCCTTGTTTGGACGAATTCTAAGCTGTGTGAGCGAGACTAACGGTGCTTAGGTTTAATGTGAGTAAAAATGAATTCCTGACTGGAATTCGTGTTTGGTTATTGTTAAATATAGTTAGTGCGTATCTCGACCTTCACGACATCGCATGTGCTCTCTTATTTGGGACTCTTGGCTACAAAATACTATTTCGCATTCTAGTGGACTCTTGACTTGTGCATTTTGATTGGATTTTGTTTGTTTGGTGATAATTGTGACAACTCGGCATTCTACTGGACTCATGATTTGTGCATAACAACAGCACTGTGTCATGTCACGAGAAATCGTCATTAGTCTTTTTTTTCCTACATCAAAATCCTCTCTTACTAAAATGCCATTCAGAATTGAGGCCGGTGCGGTTTTGGAATGTTGATACCGAGCCCAACCCAAATACCAGACAACGGTCATTATGTGGGCACAGCAACCCACTGTCTGTTGTCCAGAAGTGCAACTGCAATAATAACCTGGAATCATCTCATCCCAACTTGTCCCTTGTCGCGCCAACAGTATATATGTATAATAAGCTCTGCCCGAGTGATGGCGAGATATTATACGGCCTCTTATTAGAACAGAGTTTTGTTGGGATAATATTAATTGGGTCACAATTTGTCTGCTACCCAGTATTCGTTGACACCAAATACACAATATACTGATAGTATTGGCATTAGGGCGCTGGAGCTCATTTTCAAGATTTGTGCCGATAGATAATTCTTGTAATACGTTTGCAAAACATTGTGAACATATTGGTTCATTTTCATCCATCTAAAACAAAACAATCTTATTTTAAGGATTTTCTTTTTAATGTTTCTCAAGAACAGTGTATTACCCTTTAATGGGAGTGATGTCGGGAGTAAGGAGACCCCCCCTCCCTTCCACCTAACCCCTCCTGCCAAACGATTCTAAATTTCAACTTTATCTATATTTATCTAAAGTTTTGAAAGTTACATTTTGAAGTCTTCTTATAACAATATTTTCTTACTGGTACAAATAATGTAGAAATAACTTCCTTTAATAAAACTATTTTTATTCTACTTTTTTTTTCTATACTTCTCAAGAAAATGTTTGCTGCAAATTGTTGAGTTCTTCTTTGCATTACAATCAACCCGTCCAATGAACCTTAACCATTTTTTATAATTAAAGAATCCGGAGCGAAAAAATTTGACAAACGGCAAAATAAAATTACATTTTAGAACGCAAGCCGAGGATTTATTTTGTTGTTGTGTAGGCAAGTCTATCGATTCATTATAAACATTCAAGATAAATATCGACATTAATTTTGATATAGTTGAGTCAATCCCTACCGTATATGTAAAATATTTTGTTTCAAAATATATTTACCACATTCATGCAAATTATCAACAACGTGACTTTTTTCTTTGTAATATATCAAAATAAACAAAATAATTGAAAACGTTCTATATTTTAAATAGTATATACAGGGGTGTCACTTCCACTATGGAAGGTATGGAGCACTCCATACCTCAAGTTTTTCAAGGTATGGAATTCCATAGCTGAAATTAGGAAATAAATCGCATATTACTACAAACCCCATATAAATAAATCGCAAGCCCTTAAACCTCAATACCCCACATCTTATAGTTCAATAAATAAGTTGAGTATATACACTGCAAACTCTTAAACCTTAATACCCCACGAGTAATGCGAACAAATTTGAAAATCGCGCCACCATTTTCCATACCTCAGATTTTTACAAAGTGACACGCCTGAGTATATAACAGAAATTTTAACCAAAAATAAACGTTTCATAACATTGACGACGTCTTGAGAATTTACCAGTGAAAAGTGCAATTATCAGGATTATTTCTATTATTAACACCACAATCACTCACTAATCAAGTAAGCATTTTGGAAAAAAGTTACTTAATAAAAATGACCACTATTACACTTTCAAAATTACAAAATATCTAGGAGCTATTTCTTGCGGGCCGAATTGCGCCGATCTGTCATTCAAAATCGGTTACAGAGTCATGATATTTGTTATCCTTTTTTTATCCTGCATTTTTGCCATAAGGAATTTTCTTTTCCCTTGCACACTATGTTGGTCTATACGCCAGTATATTCTAAGTCTATGGTAGAAACGCGTCCAATAAGGGTAGCGCTGCGGTGGCATAGGATAAATAAAAAAAGCGCCAAAATAATTAGAATAAGATGGAGAAATAAACAAAGACCAACCAATCCGCTTGGTTTGTACTACGTAAATAGTTGAGGTTTTGTATACTAGCATTTTACTAACTACTCTAGTCATGAAAATTTTTAAATATTTGAATTCAGCTAACTTCACTCCGTCTACAACAGCTATAATCATATCGTAGTTTTTCAGACGCCAACACTATTGTGGTAGGTTTTGGAACCTCAATTTTCAGTATACAGTTGGACACTCCAAAGAGTATAGTAACTGTCCTATACACTTTCCAACTTTCCCCCTATATGAGATGGTTCTCCTTCTACTCTATACTCCATGATTCAGACCTAGTCTATCATAGATAAATACACTATATACCAGGAATAGTCTATAATCTGCTATAATCTATATTTAGATTAGTTTGTGTTTCAATCTTTCATACTGTGTCGAAATTCTTCATATCATTCAAAATTTAAATTTATATGTTTAGGTCAGTATAGTGAATCAGTGCTAATTGTTATATTTTACAATCTACAACTTTACATTTTGATTAGTCAGTTTCATATTAAATTATAATGAATACATTGTTGAGAAGGAGTTTTTTACCAGTATTTAATAACACATTTCGAGGGTCATGCCGCTCATTTGCGGATGCTGCTATAAATGAGAAAATTGACAAAATCGTGAAGAATAATAAGGTTGTAGTATTTATGAAGGGTGTCCCAGATGCTCCAAGATGTGGATTTAGTAACGCTGTAGTCCAAATAATGAGAATGCATGCAGTTCCATATGTCAGTCACGATGTTCTCTCAGATGAAAATCTTCGACAAGGTATATTGTTGGGGTTGGGTTTGTATATAATTGTGAAATATTAGAAAGTATCCAAAATTTATCTTAACATTAAATAATATTTTTCTAATTGCTATTTTACCACATTCACCACCGCCACTAGTTTCGAACGTAACACATGTATGCTGTGTACATTTTCTATGGACTCGCTAGGCAGGTAGCCAGTACTGGTTACAAGATAAGGTGAACTTGCCAGGCGGGTACGGTGGCATTGTGTACAGTCGAACACATAACAAATTAGTAGTTTAAGCTCTAAATTTGTTTTAGAAGGTTGTTCTTTACTCACTCTTGTTTATAAGTGTATTTGAAGATAGTTTTACGTGTTTTTGAGTGTGATCATGGATAAAAATCAAAGAAAAGGTAAGGTAACAACGTAATTTAATCAGAAATCCCTAACCTTTTGTAATCATATAAGAAATTATTATGTTTCTTACTTTTAAGAGAGGGATCTTCAGTATTCTATTTTAGTTTTCAAAGTCACTTTTTACTTTCAATATTTTGGGATTATAATTTCTTTATAAAGTATATTTTGGTCAGGTTTGGAGATAAAATAAGTTTACTTGCATATCTGCACCACTGACAGCTAGTTATATATATATATATATATTTTTTTTTTGGAACATGCTAAATAAACTCAATTGATACCATATTTGGCAGTTAAACATCTATTTTTTAGTTCATAAAAACACTCTCTAGAAGGCGCCATATTATACAATTTGACATTAGGTAACATCATAAAGGCATATAACCAGCGAACAATATTAAGATGCTTCATATGATACCACATTTGTCAAATTAGAATAAGTTAGGAAGTTAAGAGGGAATCAGGGAACAGGAAATGTTTCAGAAAACTTCTGAGCAAGCTGTTGATGACCCCTGAGTATATTTAATGAATGAACCCACCTAGTGCATTCTTGGCATTGTATAAGAATTAAAGTTTTTTTAACAAATTGTGTAATCTCGTTAATTTCATTCCACCTCAAATATTTTTAGTTTATGGTGCTAAAATACCACTGGTGAAGTTTTAAAACAAAGTATCACTTATCTTATAAGATAATGTAATAATTTAGAGACTCGTGAGGCGGGTTACTGGCATAGAATGTGTTAATTAAATTATGCATTTCTTTTAAATTTTTTTCATTGGTATATTGTACTATAACTCTTTTATAAAAGTTATTTCTATAACATATTTTTTCAAGTAATGTTAACTTTTCATTAATGTTAAATTTTCTTTTCCTTTCACAATCTTATGAAAAAACCGGCAAAGTGCAAGTCAAACTTGTGCATGAATTTTTTTTTATAGGATAAGGGTGACAAACTAGCACATAGTCCACCTGATGGTAAGTGGTTGCTGCGGCCCATAGACATCTACATTTATCCTCATTTGCGTATCAAAATGCAGATGTGTTGTCACCCGTGAGGACTAAGATGGAATGCCTCATTTCCAGTAAAAAGGGCCTCCGGCCACCTGCACTCACCAAGCGAACTGCAGAGGTAAACCTCTACTTCATGCTGGTATTCTGTGAGGTCGTGGTACCACCCCGGTTCGAGCCGGCCCATCCGTGCGACAGCAATTCTGCCACGTGAATGGTTCCATACCATCGTAAAACACGTTTCTAGTAGGGGAGCCCCCTTAAATTTTTAACTTAATTTTATTTTTATTATTTGTTGTTATAGCTGCAACAGAAATACGCAATCTGTGAAAATTTCAATAGTGTACTTATTACGTATCATGAGATACAGCCTACTGGGCAGACAGCATAGGCTTAGTAATAGGGTCCAGTTGGTTACTCTTTGGGTACGGAACCCTAAAAATGATAATATAATCTCTAAACATTATTAATATTTTCAGTTTTCATTAAAATCAATTCAGAGTTGTCTTTTTAAACAAATATAATTGAATTTACAAATAATTAATAATTGGAAATTGATAGTGAGGACAGACCAAATCCCATCCATTCTCACTTTTTATATAAAGGTCATGAATTTTTAGTTTTGAATTTGTTTATAGGTATTAAAGACTACTCAAATTGGCCAACAATACCTCAAGTGTTCATAAATGGTGAGTTTGTGGGAGGATGTGATATCATGCTTCAAATGCATCAGTCAGGTGAATTAGTAGAGGAACTTAAAAAAGTTGGAATCAAAAGTGCCTTGTTAACGGCTGAAGAAACAAAGAAAGAAATGGAGAAAAAGTAACAGTTCCAAAAATCTTATTTATTGACTATATATGTATGTACTATGACTTATTATTATGTTGATGACAATATATTTAACTCTCAATATTTGCATAAATAAATTTATAAATAAAACATGGTAAATAGTTTAATCAGTCCTTCTGTTTTCATATTGCTTTATTTACTTAATTATTACCAATCAATATGAGTAAGAAATTGTAAAAATTACCAAGTTTTATTTATTTGTAGTATTTTTCTATGCATTAAAATAACATAAGATCTTTGTTATCTAGTTACTATAAGTTGAACAAGAACTCTAGTTTGAAACTAGAATTTTATGATTGTGAAATTGTTGTAGAATTAATGATAATTTTAATGAATACTTTTAGGTTTGTTAGTTTTGGTTAATCTTTATTAGATGTTACAAATTTGAGTAAAGGAAATAAATAAAATTATCTGATGTTTAAGAGCTCTTTATTAAATTAGCTGTACATTCGAGTTAGTATACTTTTTGGGCACATAATTCATTCTTAATCTACATCCACTGTTTCCTCATATAAATTATAGGTTTTAACAACACAGTCAATATTAAAAGACAAAAATATGGCAGATCATTTATTTTGAGTACTCATTCTAAAATACTCTCACAAACGATATATATATAAAAATAATAGTCGAGTGATAAATAAATAGATGCAGGCAAGGTATGGCAATCTATAATATAAATAATTTGTGTGACACTTCCCTGCAACATTTATTAATTTTGGCAACTCAAAAAATAATACCTTTTTACCTACCACAATAATTACTAATGGCAGTAATTAAAATTTGAACTTTTATAAATAATGTATGCTTAAAAATAAAAAATATATAATATGGATATAACAAAAACACCCTCACATTTTCAATGAGTCTTATTTTGGTGTTACACATTAGTGAAGCCTAACATTAGCACCAAGTTTTACTTACAAATAAATGTTTTGTGACTTTCCTGACAATTTCATACAAAAGATAAAAATACCTAATTCTAATATAAATAGTATGTTTTAGACATAGATGATTTCTCTTATTTGAGCCAAACCATTACACAAAGGAGAAGAGATTTTTCTTGATAAGAAAGTTAATGGCATTTTTGGTTTTAACATTGCACATATTTGATACAGAACTGTTTTAGACTAATGATATCACAAAAATTGTTTGCTTTATGTTAACAATTGATTAGGGCGAGTTGTCAGATTTTTGTCAACATAAGGGAAATAATTTATGTGTTGTTACGCCGATACCGCATTATCTTGGGTCAAGGTTGTTAGTAGTGATGAGTGCGGCAACTGGACTCCGAGCAAGTTCCTGTAATGTACTCCATAACCTTCCAGGTAGAGATGACTTTTGATGTTAAGACCTGTATCTAAATAATATATTATTTTAGGTATGTAGGTATAGTATTGATTGTATAAATTTTTCTTATCATTAGGGTATCACAATATTAATTTTAACATTCTATAAATGTGCCATTCTTCAGGTATATAGTTTTACAATTTCAATTTTTTTTAAAAAGAAAAAGTTTTCTTACTGTGGCAACATAAATAAATAGTTTTTAAAATAGACCATTTAAAAAGGCACAACATTACGGAAATTAGATTATTTAATTCCCATCATTCCCACAATCTGCACTCAAAATTCATCTCCATTCATTACTATTTATTTACCGATTATTGTTTTAACTCAACAACACATTTGAAATTAGTGCGGCAATAAAAGTGAGAACATCGGTTTGAAGTCACTATTTTGTAATGCGCGCCTAATAGAGGGATCTTATGTGGTAGAGCCATGGCTCTGCATCATGATGCAGCTGTATTATGGCTGGTGTGCGAATGAGTTGGTTGACTGAGAAATGACCACACTTTCACACAATACTAGTGTGGAATAGTAGCATAATTCTGCTGTGTATTGCATATGGTGAGTGTAGAGACCTGGAGACATGTTTTGCTGGAAATGCGCATCCATCTCAGTCCTCAGGGGTGACAATCTATTTGTATTTTTATTTTTCGAGGATAAATATAGATATCTATGGACCACAGTATCAACTTATATTCAGGTGGACTGTATGGTTGTTTCTCAAAAAAATTACTTAGTTTCTTAGTGTGGGGGGTAATGTTTTTTTTTTATAGGATAGGGTGACAAACGAGCACACAGTCCACCTGATGGTAAGTGGTTGCTGTGGCCCATAGACATCTACATTTATCCTCGTTTGCAAATCAAAATGTAGATGCGTTGATACCCGTGAGGACTAAGATGGAATGCCTCTTTTCCAGTAAAAGGGTCTCCGGTTCTCTACACTCACCATACGAAACACAGCAGTGTTAAGCTGCTATTTGACGCTGGTATTCTGTGAGAGCGTGGTCCTTCCCCGGTCGAGTCGACCCATTCGTGCTACAATTATACTACTAATATAGCTGCAGCATGGCTCTACCATGTAAAAAAAAGGTTTTTCTAAGGGAAAACCGTTAACCCGCACCAGGCTTTACTCCTGTATCGCAGAGGCATTTTATAAATATGAATTGCACAAGGACAAACATCCAGAGCTGGAACAATTATTTGTAGGCCATACAAATACTTGATTCTCATTGTTATCCGGTGCGTCACAGAGCCGTCCAGTGACAGCGGTATAGGCGGTGCGTTGTGTGTGTGGGTGTGGGCCGTACCTAGAGGTCGGTCTCGCCGTAGAGCGCGGTGGAGAAGGCCATGTAGTCGAGCGCGTGCGGCGGCGCGCCGGGCCCGCGGTAGGGCGGCATGCGCGCCACGCAGTACTCCGCCTGGTGGGGCGGTGTGTGTGTGTGTGTGGGCCGTACCTAGAGGTCGGTCTCGCCGTAGAGCGCGGTGGAGAAGGCCATGTAGTCGAGCGCGTGCGGCGGCGCGCCGGGCCCGCGGTAGGGCGGCATGCGCGCCACGCAGTACTCCGCCTGGTGGGGCGGTGTGTGTGTGTGTGTGGGCCGTACCTAGAGGTCGGTCTCGCCGTAGAGCGCGGTGGAGAAGGCCATGTAGTCGAGCGCGTGCGGCGGCGCGCCGGGCCCGCGGTAGGGCGGCATGCGCGCCACGCAGTACTCCGCCTGGTGGGGCGGTGTGTGTGTGTGTGTGGGCCGTACCTAGAGGTCGGTCTCGCCGTAGAGCGCGGTGGAGAAGGCCATGTAGTCGAGCGCGTGCGGCGGCGCGCCGGGCCCGCGGTAGGGCGGCATGCGCGCCACGCAGTACTCCGCCTGGTGGGGCGGTGTGTGTGTGTGTGTGTGTGGGCCGTACCTAGAGGTCGGTCTCGCCGTAGAGCGCGGTGGAGAAGGCCATGTAGTCGAGCGCGTGCGGCGGCGCGCCGGGCCCGCGGTAGGGCGGCATGCGCGCCACGCAGTACTCCGCCTGGTGGGGCGGTGTGTGTGTGTGTGTGTGTGGGCCGTACCTAGAGGTCGGTCTCGCCGTAGAGCGCGGTGGAGAAGGCCATGTAGTCGAGCGCGTGCGGCGGCGCGCCGGGCCCGCGGTAGGGCGGCATGCGCGCCACGCAGTACTCCGCCTGGTGGGGCGGTGTGTGTGTGTGTGTGGGCCGTACCTAGAGGTCGGTCTCGCCGTAGAGCGCGGTGGAGAAGGCCATGTAGTCGAGCGCGTGCGGCGGCGCGCCGGGCCCGCGGTAGGGCGGCATGCGCGCCACGCAGTACTCCGCCTGGTGGGGCGGTGTGTGTGTGTGTGTGTGTGGGCCGTACCTAGAGGTCGGTCTCGCCGTAGAGCGCGGTGGAGAAGGCCATGTAGTCGAGCGCGTGCGGCGGCGCGCCGGGCCCGCGGTAGGGCGGCATGCGCGCCACGCAGTACTCCGCCTGGTGGGGCGGTGTGTGTGTGTGTGTGTGTGGGCCGTACCTAGAGGTCGGTCTCGCCGTAGAGCGCGGTGGAGAAGGCCATGTAGTCGAGCGCGTGCGGCGGCGCGCCGGGCCCGCGGTAGGGCGGCATGCGCGCCACGCAGTACTCCGCCTGGTCGGGCGGCAGCTCGCGCCGCAGTTCCTCCGCCGTGATGTACGGCTGCACACAACATCATGTTAGCCTTCATTCATTCATTCAGTCCTTCATTACAGCCAAAACATAAATTAAAATATTCCTTCGGTTTTAGAGACGGTCGCTGCTGATGATAATGGAGCTGCTTCTTTTCTCGCTCAAAGGCTAAGTATAGCCATTAAACGGGGAAACGTAGCCAGCGCTCTTAACACTAAAAATCTGGGTGTAGGACTGTATGATAATTTAAGTTTTTAGTTTTAGTTTTTTTTTTTTTTTATAGGAGAGGGGGCAAACGAGCATGCGGCTCACCTGATGGTAAGTGACTACCGCCGCCCATGAACAACTGCAACACCAGGGGAATCGCAGGTGCGTTGCGGGCCTTCTAAAAAGGAGTACGCTCTTTTCTTGAAGGTCCCTAAGTCGTATCGGTCCGGAAAAATTGCTGATGGTAATCGATTCCACAAGGAGGTCGTGCGAGGAAGAAAACATCTTCTAAATCGCACAGTGGTGGACCGCCAATCATCCAGATGCTGTGGATGGTATCGGGAGTTCTGCCGCGATGTGCGTTCGTGAAATTTGGCGGCTGGGATTAATCCGAACAATTCCTCAGAGCACTCCCCATGGTAGATGCGAAAGAAAATGCAAAGGGATGCAACATCTCTTCGCAGTGCCAATGAATCGAGCCGATCGGAAAGGGCTCGGTCGTCGACAATTCGAGCCGCTCTGCGTTGGATGCGGTCAAGTGGAAGGAGCTGGCACTGGGGAGCCCCTGCCCAGAGATGGGAACAGTATTCCATGTGAGGCCGAACTTGCGCCTTGTAAAGTAGCAAGCGGTGTGCCGGCATGAAATACTGTCCCGCTCTGCTGAGCACGCCAAGCTTTTTAGAGGCCAATTTGGCCTTCCCTTCCAAGTGACCACGAAACTGCACGTCACTCGATATGTCGACTCCGAGGATACCGATACTGGCTGAGGCAAGAAGGGGACTGCCTTGAAACTGAGGAGATACGACAAAGGGGTTTTTTTTAGCGGTAAACGCGCAAACTTGTGTCTTCTGAGGATTAAATTGGACTAGATTTAGTCGCCCCCAATCCGAGACTTTGTTCAGCAAAGACTCGACTTCAGACACAAGTTTGTTCCGGTACTCAGCGACGTTTTCCCGAGAAATATTGGCACGGCCGGTGTATAGAGCATCACCAGTGCTGTCATCCGCATAGCAATGAATGTTACCAGTTAGCAACATATCATTGATATGCAGAAGAAACAGCGTTGGTGATAGCACACAGCCTTGTGGAACACCAGCGTTAATAGGCTTGTAGTCAGAGCATGCACCGTCTACAACGACCTTGATGCTCCGATCTGCAAGGAAGCTGGTGATCCAATTGCACAATTTCTCGGGAAGCCCATAGGAAGGGAGCTTCGAAAGAAGCGCTTTGTGCCAAACCCGATCGAAGGCCTTCGCAATGTCCAGACTAACGGCCAACGCCTCCCCCTTGGACTCTACTGCCTCCGCCCATCTATGGGTCAGGTAGACCAGAAGATCACCAGCTGATCGACCCCGACGAAAACCGTATTGGCGGTCACTAATCAGCTGGTGATCCTCAAGGTACCGGATGAGCTGGCAGTTAATAATGGATTCCATTATTTTGGAGAACAAGGAGGTGATCGCGATAGGCCTATAGTTGGCTGGGTCTGAGCGGTCGCCTTTTTTAGGGATCGGGTGGACAAAAGCTGTCTTCCATGAATTCGGGACTACGCCTTGGGAGTAGGAGTACCGGAAAAGACGCGTTAGGACCGGTGCCAACTCCGGAGCACACGTCCTCAGCACAATTGGGGGGATTCCGTCAGGCCCACTCGACTTCTGGATGTCCAGGAAGAGCAGTGCTTTGCGAACCGAGCGCTGTGAGAACAGCACATCCGGCATGGATCACTCACACCGCGGGATGGTCGGCGGTGTTTTCCCCCCGTCATCAAGAGTCGAGTTGGACGCAAAAAGGGAGCCTAAAAGGTCGGCTTTGTCTTTTGCGTCATGGGCCAGTGAGTCATCCTCCCTGTGCAGAGATGGTAGTGATGGCTTACAGAAATTCCCTTGGACAGCCTTGGCGAGAGACCAGAATGCACGGGTCCCCGAAGGAAGGCGAACTAGTTTCTCGCCAATTCTGCCTATGTGCTCTGACTTTGCCTTGGCAATAACTCTTTTGAAGGACCTGGAGGCGAAGTTATACTTCTTTTTAAGTGTGCTGGTATTTACATCCCGAGTCGCCGAAGCCGCAGCCCAGGCTTGATAACACTCCTGCTTACTGCGTAATGCAGTCTTACAGGAGCGACCAAACCAAGGCTGAGATCTGCCTCCGATGGGTACCACAGATGATGGAATAAATAGTTCCATTCCCTGTAGCACCACATCAGTGACAGAGTCAGCAACAGCGCTGGGATCATCCGGCGAGAAGCAAACCCGCCCCCATGGGTAGGATGCAAAGAAGGACCGCATTCCGTCCCAATCCGCCGACCTGTAATGCCAAACACGGCGGCAACCTGCAGAACGCAACCGCGAAGGGAGCACCACACTCCGGATCAGACAATGGTCCGAAGAGCCGAGAGGGGCATCGACGGAAACCTGATATCCGTCCGGATGAGAGGTCAGCAGAAGGTCCAACAGGGAAGGTGTATGATCCTCCACATCTGGAATCCGCGTAGGCGAAGTAACCAGTTGTGTCAGACCATATACCAAGGCAAAGTCATAAACAGATCTCCCCGCATGATCGGTTAGACGTGAACCGAGCCATTCGGCATGGTGGGCGTTAAAATCGCCAAGGATCACGATCTCTGCGGATGGGACCTGTTGTAGCAAGAAATCTGTAGCCATTTGGACGTGGTCGATGAGTCGGTCTGTTTCGGCATTACCGCTATGGGACCTATAGAGGCACCCGTAGACGCGCGGATGGTCGTCGCTGTCTACGCGTAGCCAAAGGATGGACAGGTCCGAACCTTCAAGACTGCCGAGGCGTCGAGAACAGATGTCCTCTCTGACATACACGCAAACTCCAGCCCGAGGCACAAAGGAATGCTCCAATTTGTACCCCGGGTAGGAGAGATACGAAATATCAGCCGGAGAGGAAACCTGCGTCTCGGTCAGAAAGAGCAAGGCCGGCTTCGCCGTCTCAAGATGGTAGTGGACGGCGTTTAGGTTAGAGTGAAGTCCCCTGATGTTGCAGAAATTCACGGATAGCGTGGCAGGGGTCGCCTTGGTGTTCTTGCTCAGTTTGCCCCTAGCAGTAATGCTTTTGAGCGGAATTTTGCCCCCCCCAGAATACGCGGGGCAGCCTGAGCACCCACGCTCAGGATCGGAATAACATGGTCGTGGATGCTCAGCGAGGGATTCTCCAGGGGTTTAATACTATCGAAAACAATCGGGGCACCTAGCAGATATGGCGATTCTGTACTGACAGTTTTTATTCCTGGAGAAATATGATTGAAATTTTAAATTAAAGTGTCTATGTTAGAACTAGATAAATTATTGGAAAATAAATATTTCACATATATTGCTACTTGGTTCAAGACCAATTTTTTAAAGTTTCGAAAAATATGAGTAAGATCACTGAGGACGTCATCTGCTCTACTGTCGGTCCACGTACCAGACATTCAGCTTTGATTTTAAATTTAAAATAACGGGTTGAATTCCCAAACTGAAAAATGCTGGACCTAGTGGGTCAACCCTGCTGAACACCGACAGCGGAATCGATAATATGGTTACGTAAAACAAGTCAGTATTTTGACTAATACTGCCAAACGTAATGATAAATTTATGGGGTATTGGTAGCTACTTCTTTTAGCAGAGTTACCCTATCAATAGAGTTAAAAGTATTCCTTAGACCAACCTTCACAAAAACATCTGCCTTAGTTTGTTAAAAATTTATGTAAATAAATAATTAGGAAATAGCAAACATTGAAAGGATGACTTTGCTTTGTACAAATCAAACAGTAGACACAATGTAGATTAATTGTTATAGATTAGATTCTTGTTTTTCTTTTTGATTATTTTATAAAACTATCAAAACCTACTGCAAAACAGGTTTCCTCCATAGATTGCCTCTTAAGATATTTGTGATATCTGGCATGTTTGGCAGGGGATTTAATAACTGCAGTTTTTATTATTTTGAGTTGTAATCAGGAAGATTCTGCTACCCATCTCCTAACTCATTTCCTTCAGTATCCTCTTGCAACACCAACAAGATAAAAGTTAATGTTACGCTATCACAATTTGGTCGTCCAGATTTTCACATCAAACCACACATTACCAGCCCGGCTAGCATGGGCAGGGGATAATTTTATCCCCGGAGAAAGGAGAAAATGTTTATCCCTTCGCTTAGTTTTATCCATCCTTAGAGCATGGGCACATCGGTGGATATAATATCCACAGTAGGTAAATTGGAAGATAGACGTAGATTTTTTGTATGAATATAAACTTCAACCCACGTCCAATGAACTAGGATAAAATTGTCCCCTTCAAATGTCAAAAAAGCATAATTTTTTATCTTTCATTTGTCTCCGTGCTACGGACGAGGGATATAATGTCTACTCGTTATATATATGTACGAATATACTTTTCCCCGTTTGACATAACAAGATAATTTTATCTCATGTCAGTGGATATAATCGGAGGATAAAATTTTTGTCCCCCGCCCATGCTAGCCGGGCTGCAACTTATACTTTTCTTTTACAAGGTGATACTCTACTGTCTAGGAGTCTGTCTCTCCGTATCCTATTTTACCACGTTTTTATTTATTGACTTTCATGTCTGTATATCTGTTTGTAATTTTTCAAACTACCAACTACAAAATTTGCACTGTTTTCTAACCTAATTTCACGATGAGCTGGAGACTTGAAATTTAAATATACACTGCCGGCCAAAAGTTTAAGACCACACTTAAACAACATAATTAGATAAAAATAGATTTATATCTATAAATTGTAACGAAATCCCGTAAGATAAATAAAAGAAATGTACACCTGCATATTCTATTGTTAATATCGAATATCTAAAGAAGTCATTCTTTTATGTATTTCTAAGTTATTGGACAATAAACATGTATTGTTTTCAAACACCGACAAACGCTGCGTTAGAGCCAGGTGGTAGAATCGTAATAATATTTTTATGATGGGCTAATAACTAATTGTTTTGCTTTTGTTTCTCATTGGTCAATAATTAGGATGATTTAGCTTCTAAAAACACGTGTTTCCGACTTATTATGACCGCAGTTTACATGGTTTTGTTCACAAACAATCTCAATTAGTCTAAACTTGCGGTTTCTGCAGTGAAAACGTCTTAAAATGGGAAAAGCACGCGAAATTTGCAGTGAAGTGCGTTCTGCCATCGTTGTGTACATAATTAAGGCAAATCCAAACGTTAGATTGCTTTACAATTAAAGTTATGGAAAACTTATGTTTATGGCACAATAACTCGATACAGGGAGACAGGCGCTTATCAAGATCGTCCACGCTCGGGAAGGCCGAGAGCACTTCAAGTGAAGATCATTTCATTGTTGTAGACAAGCGAAATAGACGCTTAACAGCACCGGAAATCAGCTTATGGACTACAGTAAAATGGCGACTGAGAGATGCGAAATTGTATGATCGTGTCGCCGTTCGAAAACCTCTGCTAAGGCACACAAAACAAGAAAAAACGGATTCAGTGGGCCCTTGCCCATCGGGATTGGACTGAAGAAGATTTTAAAAAAGTTCTTTGGATGAATCCAAGTTTGAGCTATTCGGTTCAAAACGAAGAATTTAAATTCGACGCAGTGACCAAGAAAAGATGATGCCAGACTTTGTAGTCTCAACAATCAAGCATGATGGTGGCTCAGTTATGGTCTAGGGTTGCTTTTCTAGCCAAGAAACTGGCGATTTGATCAAAATTGACGGAATTATGAAAAAGGAAGAGTACAAAGAAATTTTAGAACAAAATGCCGTTCCTTCGGGGTTGCGACTAATTGGAGATGGATTCATTTCCAATTAATCGTCAAGAGAATCAGAAGAGAAAGAGGCACAAGGGGTGTTAAAAAACATGGTTTGACCTCCTCAGAGCCCGGATTTCAATCCCATTGAACTTTTGTGGAAAGAGCTTGATAGGAACGTCCGTAATTGTGGTCCATCCTGGCGAGAAGAAATGTGGAATGTTTTGTGCGAAAGTTAGAGCAGTATATCACAAGACTATCAACAAATTGACTGCCCGTATGCCGAGACTTGTGAAAAAAGTCATAGAATGCAAAGGAGGATTTTTTGATGAACAATCAGTTTAGCTATAGACTTTTTTAGCATGGACTGTTATTTCTTTACGCTTTTCAAGTATATTGATTGTCAAAAAGTGGTTTATTGGGTGATTTAACAGTTTAATTACATTTAATTTTTATTGGAGTTTTATTTAATTTTCCTACTTTAATTAAGGTGGTCTTAAACTTTTGGCCTGCAGTGTAATTGAGAAAAGAATGACAATACAAATTATGCTCCCTTTTGTCTGATTGTTTGTCAGGATGGTATAAATTTTGCATTAATTTTAAAATAACTTCCCAATGAGTTAGAATATTATAGAGTTTTTAAATGTTTTAGACTCTAATACAATTACTGCACCTCATACACGCTGTTAGGAAATATCAAAACTTTAAACGTTTTACATACTTAAATTGCACACAAACAAAATCCAGCCCATGAATAAGGGCTAATATGTCACAGTCAAAACTCATAAGCAGTCAAAACCAATTTTGACTGCAAAAATCAGGCAAAAATGGTTTTGACCGATGCCCTTACACAAAAACAATTTTGACTGTTTTTTGTAGTCTAAAAGTGGTTTTAACCAACATTCTTAGTCAAAAGTGGTGTTGTCTGATTTAAACTTCAAACTACAGTCAAACCTCGTAATATCAGTAGCAGTGGGTTGAGGTGCGGTTAAGCCGCGTACATTGTAAGATATAAAATATAAGTATTGAAGAAATTGAACTTTTTAATTTCAGAAATTCAAAAAGTATAAGTCAAAAGAAGTTTTGACTATAACATTGTTGATCAGAACCACTTTTAACCGATGTAATTTAGTCAAAATCACTATTACCCAGTATTTTTGCAGTTAAAATTAAAAGTAGATTTGACCAACGACCTTAGTCAAAACTACTTTTGACTCATTTTTTACTGTCTAGTGGTTTTGACCGGTTATGAGTTTGACTGTAACATATATACTTCCTTCACATTATAGCTGAAGTGTGTGTTACATTTTTGATAAAATTAATTAAAAAAAATAATAGTCCTTAAGTATCCCGGTTTACCTTGTCACCAGCTAAGATCCTGAAGCTGTCAATGACCTGTTCAGCGGTGTCTGTATCTGTGGATTCCCTCGTCATGAAGTCCAAGAATGCGTCGAATGAGACGTATCCTGATAAAATATTAAACACGATTTAGTGACATGATTTTCTATATACCGGAACTTCCCACTATATTAAAATTGCTACATTGTCTCTTGAAAATCAATTTATTAAAAACGCGGATGGAGTAAAAGTAGCGACAAACAGCACAAATAATAAATTATCACACTTCTAGTTTTATTTAAGAAATGAATATGTACTTCGTTTACATTTATTTATTTAATTTATTGTATTATTATGTGGTATTTATATTTTTTCACACAATACTTAACACAACGTGAGTCTGTCAGCTGTGCCGTCACAAAATAGCGACACTCCTTAAGCTACATATATTTTAATGGTTTATTGTTTACTTAAAGAAGACAATGAAATAAGTAAGTACAAACCTGTGTTGTTGGGGTCTACAACAGCGAGTATACGCTGGAAGTCGAGTTCTCCTTGCCTGTCCTTTCCGATACTGTAGCCAAGAGACACGAGGCACGACTTTAGCTCTTCCGGAGCGAGGCGGCCTGTACATATAGGATACAAATACATAGGTATATACGAGTATATAATAGACTTTTAATTTATCGCATCAAAATTCATTCATTATAGTTAGCCGCCCTGTCAAAAGTCCACCGCTGAACATAGGACAATCAAAAAGTTCTACATTATAATTTGAAATTAAAAATGTTGTACCACCGACCTCAATATAAATTATTAAAACTCAAAAACTATTGGTCAAACCTAGATCAAATTTATATGGGACCACATAAGAAGCACCAGCTTTCAAATAAACAAGAATCGACGAAATCGGTTCACCCAGTAAAAAGTTATGAGGTAACACACATATAAAAACATACAGTCGAATTGAGTACCGTTTCCTTTTTAAAGTCTGTAGAAAATACGATTTGAATTGAAAAATGGACCATAATATTCTAAAACGATTTACCTAAACAGTCCGTTTCCGTGTAGTCCTTAATTGTTATTATTATGAAGACTTCAACGAACAAAAATATGACGAGTATTTGGTTTTGCAAGGGTGTGAAATATGATTTAGGCTTAATTGGGATGATAATTATTGATCCAATCACTTTAAATAAATAATAAGTTTTTTTTTAATAAAAAAATCCTGTAGTCGAAAGACAAGATATTGATAAGACTAAGTAATAATTAATTTTGAAATATAGGATGTCTTTGAGAAAAATAACATCATCTCAAAGGAGCATTACCGGTGCGGTTCTTGTCGAAGTGGTTGAACGAGGCGCGGAATTCGTTGAGCTGTTCGTGTGTGATGCCCTTGGAGTCGCGAGTTAAAATCTGGTTCTCGACTTCGTTGATGGTTCGGTTGATGGACGTAAGCAGTTGTTCCCAGCCGACGCGGAGTGTCTCCATTGTGTATTGCGAATATCTGTACAGGACGAAAATATAAATTGTATAAACATATAAATTAAATACATACCTATTGTACTTGCACTAGCGGTAATGGTAAGGTTATATAACAAAGAGATTGCTTGGGGCCTAAGCGAATACACGTTCTAATACGATAGAGCTACGCCACAGCTATGTTTATGGTTGCAGCACTGGGTCGGCTCGACCGGGGAAGGACCACGCTCTCACAGAATACCAGCGTAAAATATCAGCGTAATTCTGCTGTATTTCTTATGGTGAGTGTAGAGAACCGGAGACAATTTTAAACTGGAAACTAGGCATTCCATCTTGGAACTCGGGGGTGACATCGCATCTGCATTTTAATTATTCATCGAGAATGTATAATGTAGATTGTGTGATCGTTTGTCACCCTTATTCTATAAAAAAGCACCAACATTTTCACTAAATTTGCAACCATGTGCAAATTTAGTGAAATAAAAACAGATGGAAGTCCTTCCTTTTCTGCCTAGCATTGCGTCGGGGTAAGTACCACCTCGAACTTATTTCTGCCGCCAAATAATTACTTGCTGCTGCTTGTACTATTGTGTTGATTGAAGAGTACAGCAACCCAGTATAGAGGCTGTGAGTCATTCCATCTTAGTCCGCAGAGATGACAGCGCATACTTTTTGTGCCCTCGAAATATTTGAATACCAACGAAATTCAATGGTATTGTTACTTAGGTCGCTTTTCTATGGTTAAATATATACTGCCGAGTCCTGTAATGAAAATCACAGTTAATATATATATAATAAACTATTAGTTTTTGACAATGTATGCAAGCTTAACATAGATTATAAAAGCGTTAAATTGGGTAAGGGTATGACGAGTGCACTTTAATATGACCTACACAGTCTATAACTTTTGATGGTGCTAAGGGAATATAGTCCTTACCTGTTCTCGAAGATCATGCCCTCCTGCACGGCCTGGTGGATGCGTTCCAGTTCTTCGATGTGCGGCTTGTACGCGTACACGCCAGCTTCGTACTCCTTTAGTCTTCGGAGCTGATCTTCCAACGAGCCCTGCCCAAAAAGTAAAAATATTAAGATAAGAATCATTCGCATAGTCAATATTTCTTACGCGGTGGGCCCAAGGGTGCACAGATCTTGTGATTGAAGTAAGACCATTGTTTCATCAATGAATTTAAATTGAGTTGCCATAGATTTTAGTTAAATCGAATATCCACATAAATCACTTATGTATTAATTACAATTGATTTACGATGATGATTATATATTATCTATATGATTATATATTAACAATCTGTTTTCTATTTAAAAAAAAATCACTTCGCTATTTATGTAAGTTGTGGTTACCTGTAAGAAGATGAACACAGCATGAAGTCGCATTGTTAAGTTATATTTCTGTTAGTATTGTGTATCGTCTGTTGGTGATACAAATAAAGAGAAAAAAAAAATTACACGTCTGTATAATATGCGAGTATAATTATCATAATTATGGCGGTGTTTTAGTCACGTATCTTGGAAAGCACTTATAGCCATTGGTCCTGCACCTGATCTTTTTTTTTTATAGGATAGGGTGACAAACGAGCACACAATCCACCTGATGGTAAGTGGTTGCTGTGGCCCATAGACATCTACATTTATCCTCGATTACGAATCAAAATTCAGATGCGTTGTCACCCGTGAGGACTAAGATTGAATGCCTCGTTTCCAGTAAAAAGGGTCTCCGGTTCTCCTACACTCACCATACGAAACACAGCAGCATTAAGCTGCTATTTTACGCTGGTATTCTGTGAGATCTCTCTCCGGTCGTGTCACATTGCCATTTCATCGGGATATCAGAGTAAGGGAATAGAGAGTACACCTGTGCTTGCGCATGAACTTTTATCCTCTTCTATGCAAATGACCAGTCTGTTGAATCTGATCGTGGTGACCGGAATCGGTCTGGAGGACATTATTATCAATCGTAATAATTTTCATCAATATTATCATTACAGCCTAAAAGTCCACTGCTAAACATATGCTTCTTCCATATATTGTCTCATATAAAGGATTTTGTCATCGTTGCCATGCTTGGCAGGTAATTTAACTTTCAGTTGATCTAAGGAAGATGTCAGATAGAAGAATCAGTACGGATGGCACGCCAGGCGTGTATTTTTCGGTGTGGACACGCGAGTCGTGTCGTTATAACCCGCCCAAATTGCGTTTTTAGAAGATTTATCCATAACAAAATATGCATTGTTTTGCAAGTAATTCATGCCTACTATACTACTATAGCTTCGTTTCTGGATATTTTGAGAATTTGAAATTTTTAGGGGTTGACAACCTTTTTAACTTGTAAATGGACTCTTGTGTTTGATGTTTTTACTGTGTGGGTTCTTTAAATCATGTGGAAAAATACTACTATATAATGAATAAATTTCTGGAAAACAAGTCTGTTAAAAAAAAAAAAACAATGCGTTTGTCTTATTGGTTGAATTGCCGTCTTATTACTATCATAAGGCCGAATGGATCTACGAAGTACCATGTGTTCTTATGATATGGTATAAGGTTTATTTTTGCTTGAAACAGTTCGAAAGCGTTCATGCATAAAAAAAGTTCGCTAATAAATACTCTTTTGTTCATCCGCTGCTGTGAAGCACCGGCGCATCTGGCTATTGTTTTTTCCTTTTGAAAACACTTATGTTTCGCTATTCTTACTAATCAGAAGTTTTCAGATCGACTTTATTTTTATATTTGTATAAAATTAAATATATATAACATTTGTAAATATCAATGAATCATAAACCTTATTTTTTTCCAAATTAAAGTTCTTGATTGTTTGATATTTACAAACGTTATTATTAGGTGAAAGTTTAATTGAATAAAAACCAAGGTTTTTTCAGGGTGATTTAGGTGTAACTCCTTATATAAATGTTTTTTTTTTTTATAAAATAATAAATAGTACAAAAGGTTTGTAATCTCTGTATAAAAAAGTCACTTACTCTCCATTTCAAGGAAAACACGTAGTTAACTACTAAAAACAAGTATCCTTCCATTTGCAACTGATTTTTGATGTCAACTAAACTTAATCAGGTCTAAACAAGTAAAAAAGAACATTATTTTTACATATGGCTGATGGCACAATAGGCGTCTTGTCAACTTCAATGGCACTTGACACGACATGAGTGTCACGAAATATTTGCTCGCCGCCACAGCTAAAATTTGTCGAAAATTGGTGTCGCAACGAATCGGTTAAATTGGTATTGACTGTACGGTGAGTTGTCGTACCTGCAGGCCCATGCCGATGGCGGTGACGGCGTCCATCTGGCGCTCGATCCAGGGCCCCACGGCGTTGGCCTTCTCGGCGAACTGACGGCGCAGCGTCTCGTTGTTCTGCTGCTTGCGCAGCTCGGCCGCCAGCGTGCCGTCGCGCTGCGGCACCAGCTGCCGCACCTCCGACCACTTGCCCATCAGCTCCTGCCACATGCCATCGTTCATCATCATCATTGCAGCACATCACAACACCTCCCCCAACGACTTTGGACGGACTTCCACTGGGCACGATCCTCACACATTTCTCTCGCCTCCTTTACATCCATACCTACGCATACATACTCGTCGGTTAATAAATTTACAGCGAACGCTTAGTCCCTGAGCTACCACTCCTCCCTTTTTAAATTTAAATACATTAATTTATTTATTTTACTAAAAATGATAATAATCAACATACCGATTTCTTTACAACACCCCAGGAATAGAAACAATGAGGTATTTGACATTCTGACGTTGTAGTTGTAGCTATCTGAACAACTCAAAAATAGTTTACAGTTTTTATTTCTGGAGTTAGTTTTTTTTTTTAAATTTAATGCTTACGTGTGCGGTGAGTGTAGTGTAGGGATTCTCTAATCCTCCAGGTATCTGGTGTTGCTTCACGATAGATTCTACCTGGTGCACAAGGTTTACAATCGCCTGCAAAATAAAATAAATAATAATTGATAAAATGCTACTTTTTGTGGTTCAATTTATCCTTGTGTAAACTCAATGTATATTTAAAAATAATCACCTGATACTCCTTGTCGGCTTCACCGAGAGTCGCCTTGAAGCGAGCGTGTGCGTCCATGAGGCCGGAGATTTCTTCAATGGTGTGTACGATAAACATGTCCACGAGGTCTTCGCGAGTTCCGTCCAACCTAAAAGTATAGATTTTATTATTGATTACATTTGAGTAAATAGGCTACAGATTTAAAGTCGTTATGAATGGTTTTAAGGTAGATAATTGATTCATGATAGATTTCAAATATTTACAGTTATATCTATCATTTGTAAAACAAGAAAATAATTTATTTTCCTGATCGGATTACTTAAAAGGTCGGCCCACATACATTCGGAATCCCGTTTGCTCGTAAACGATTTTATATTGTGGACTTGCTGCGTTCGGAATACCGTATGTATGTGGCCCGCCTTAATATAGACATATCTATGATAGGCCCTTTTTACTGGAAATGAGGCATTCCATCTTAGTCCTCACGGGTGACAACGCATCTACATTTTGATTTGTAATAGAGGATAGATGTAGATGTCTTATGGGCCGCAGCAACCACTTACCATCAGGTGGACTGTGTGCTCGTTTGTCACCCTTATCCTATAAAAAAAATGTATGAACGAATGTTCCACTATACTCGCGCCACCATTTTTTATTTGTAGTTTTTTCTGTTGTTAGGAATATTTTAGTGTGACAGTGCTAATGGACTCGTGAGTGCAATATGCTACGGGTGACTGCATGCCCGCATGGTCAGAGTGCTAGCATGGCTGCGAGGTGCGAGCTGATGCAATCGCGCGAGCAAGTACTAGTGTGACTGCGAGTTGACGCACTCTCGTTCGCGATATACAAGTGAGAGTGCGAGCAGATGCACTCCCACAGGTAAGTGCTAGTGTGAGTGTGTGGTATGGTGCGGGATGCAGTGGCGGCAGGGCACCGACCAGTTGTTGAAGGGCGCGGCGCGCTTTGCGAACTCGAGGTGCAGCAGGTCGATCTGCTCGAGCACGCGCTCGCAATGTGCTAGTGTGAGTGTGTGGTGTGGTGCGGGATGCAGTGGCGGCAGGGCACCGACCAGTTGTTGAAGGGCGCGGCGCGCTTGGCGAACTCGAGGTGCAGCAGGTCGATCTGCTCGAGCACGCGCTCGCAATGTGCTAGTGTGAGTGTGTGGTGTGGTGCGGGATGCAGTGGCGGCAGGGCACCGACCAGTTGTTGAAGGGCGCGGCGCGCTTGGCGAACTCGAGGTGCAGCAGGTCGATCTGCTCGAGCACGCGCTCGCAATGTGCTAGTGTGAGTGTGTGGTGTGGTGCGGGATGCAGTGGCGGCAGGGCACCGACCAGTTGTTGAAGGGCGCGGCGCGCTTGGCGAACTCGAGGTGCAGCAGGTCGATCTGCTCGAGCACGCGCTCGCAATGTGCTAGTGTGAGTGTGTGGTGTGGTGCGGGATGCAGTGGCGGCAGGGCACCGACCAGTTGTTGAAGGGCGCGGCGCGCTTGGCGAACTCGAGGTGCAGCAGGTCGATCTGCTCGAGCACGCGCTCGCAATGTGCTAGTGTGAGTGTGTGGTGTGGTGCGGGATGCAGTGGCGGCAGGGCACCGACCAGTTGTTGAAGGGCGCGGCGCGCTTGGCGAACTCGAGGTGCAGCAGGTCGATCTGCTCGAGCACGCGCTCGCAATGTGCTAGTGTGAGTGTGTGGTGTGGTGCGGGATGCAGTGGCGGCAGGGCACCGACCAGTTGTTGAAGGGCGCGGCGCGCTTGGCGAACTCGAGGTGCAGCAGGTCGATCTGCTCGAGCACGCGCTCGCAATGTGCTAGTGTGAGTGTGTGGTGTGGTGCGGGATGCAGTGGCGGCAGGGCACCGACCAGTTGTTGAAGGGCGCGGCGCGCTTGGCGAACTCGAGGTGCAGCAGGTCGATCTGCTCGAGCACGCGCTCGCAATGTGCTAGTGTGAGTGTGTGGTGTGGTGCGGGATGCAGTGGCGGCAGGGCACCGACCAGTTGTTGAAGGGCGCGGCGCGCTTGGCGAACTCGAGGTGCAGCAGGTCGATCTGCTCGAGCACGCGCTCGCAATGTGCTAGTGTGAGTGTGTGGTGTGGTGCGGGATGCAGTGGCGGCAGGGCACCGACCAGTTGTTGAAGGGCGCGGCGCGCTTGGCGAACTCGAGGTGCAGCAGGTCGATCTGCTCGAGCACGCGCTCGCAATGTGCTAGTGTGAGTGTGTGGTGTGGTGCGGGATGCAGTGGCGGCAGGGCACCGACCAGTTGTTGAAGGGCGCGGCGCGCTTGGCGAACTCGAGGTGCAGCAGGTCGATCTGCTCGAGCACGCGCTCGCAATGTGCTAGTGTGAGTGTGTGGTGTGGTGCGGGATGCAGTGGCGGCAGGGCACCGACCAGTTGTTGAAGGGCGCGGCGCGCTTGGCGAACTCGAGGTGCAGCAGGTCGATCTGCTCGAGCACGCGCTCGCAATGTGCTAGTGTGAGTGTGTGGTGTGGTGCGGGATGCAGTGGCGGCAGGGCACCGACCAGTTGTTGAAGGGCGCGGCGCGCTTGGCGAACTCGAGGTGCAGCAGGTCGATCTGCTCGAGCACGCGCTCGCAATGTGCTAGTGTGAGTGTGTGGTGTGGTGCGGGATGCAGTGGCGGCAGGGCACCGACCAGTTGTTGAAGGGCGCGGCGCGCTTGGCGAACTCGAGGTGCAGCAGGTCGATCTGCTCGAGCACGCGCTCGCAATGTGCTAGTGTGAGTGTGTGGTGTGGTGCGGGATGCAGTGGCGGCAGGGCACCGACCAGTTGTTGAAGGGCGCGGCGCGCTTGGCGAACTCGAGGTGCAGCAGGTCGATCTGCTCGAGCACGCGCTCGCAATGTGCTAGTGTGAGTGTGTGGTGTGGTGCGGGATGCAGTGGCGGCAGGGCACCGACCAGTTGTTGAAGGGCGCGGCGCGCTTGGCGAACTCGAGGTGCAGCAGGTCGATCTGCTCGAGCACGCGCTCGCAATGTGCTAGTGTGAGTGTGTGGTGTGGTGCGGGATGCAGTGGCGGCAGGGCACCGACCAGTTGTTGAAGGGCGCGGCGCGCTTGGCGAACTCGAGGTGCAGCAGGTCGATCTGCTCGAGCACGCGCTCGCAATGTGCTAGTGTGAGTGTGTGGTGTGGTGCGGGATGCAGTGGCGGCAGGGCACCGACCAGTTGTTGAAGGGCGCGGCGCGCTTGGCGAACTCGAGGTGCAGCAGGTCGATCTGCTCGAGCACGCGCTCGCAATGTGCTAGTGTGAGTGTGTGGTGTGGTGCGGGATGCAGTGGCGGCAGGGCACCGACCAGTTGTTGAAGGGCGCGGCGCGCTTGGCGAACTCGAGGTGCAGCAGGTCGATCTGCTCGAGCACGCGCTCGCAATGTGCTAGTGTGAGTGTGTGGTGTGGTGCGGGATGCAGTGGCGGCAGGGCACCGACCAGTTGTTGAAGGGCGCGGCGCGCTTGGCGAACTCGAGGTGCAGCAGGTCGATCTGCTCGAGCACGCGCTCGCAATGTGCTAGTGTGAGTGTGTGGTGTGGTGCGGGATGCAGTGGCGGCAGGGCACCGACCAGTTGTTGAAGGGCGCGGCGCGCTTGGCGAACTCGAGGTGCAGCAGGTCGATCTGCTCGAGCACGCGCTCGCAATGTGCTAGTGTGAGTGTGTGGTGTGGTGCGGGATGCAGTGGCGGCAGGGCACCGACCAGTTGTTGAAGGGCGCGGCGCGCTTGGCGAACTCGAGGTGCAGCAGGTCGATCTGCTCGAGCACGCGCTCGCAATGTGCTAGTGTGAGTGTGTGGTGTGGTGCGGGATGCAGTGGCGGCAGGGCACCGACCAGTTGTTGAAGGGCGCGGCGCGCTTGGCGAACTCGAGGTGCAGCAGGTCGATCTGCTCGAGCACGCGCTCGCAATGTGCTAGTGTGAGTGTGTGGTGTGGTGCGGGATGCAGTGGCGGCAGGGCACCGACCAGTTGTTGAAGGGCGCGGCGCGCTTGGCGAACTCGAGGTGCAGCAGGTCGATCTGCTCGAGCACGCGCTCGCAATGTGCTAGTGTGAGTGTGTGGTGTGGTGCGGGATGCAGTGGCGGCAGGGCACCGACCAGTTGTTGAAGGGCGCGGCGCGCTTGGCGAACTCGAGGTGCAGCAGGTCGATCTGCTCGAGCACGCGCTCGCAATGTGCTAGTGTGAGTGTGTGGTGTGGTGCGGGATGCAGTGGCGGCAGGGCACCGACCAGTTGTTGAAGGGCGCGGCGCGCTTGGCGAACTCGAGGTGCAGCAGGTCGATCTGCTCGAGCACGCGCTCGCAATGTGCTAGTGTGAGTGTGTGGTGTGGTGCGGGATGCAGTGGCGGCAGGGCACCGACCAGTTGTTGAAGGGCGCGGCGCGCTTGGCGAACTCGAGGTGCAGCAGGTCGATCTGCTCGAGCACGCGCTCGCAATGTGCTAGTGTGAGTGTGTGGTGTGGTGCGGGATGCAGTGGCGGCAGGGCACCGACCAGTTGTTGAAGGGCGCGGCGCGCTTGGCGAACTCGAGGTGCAGCAGGTCGATCTGCTCGAGCACGCGCTCGCAATGTGCTAGTGTGAGTGTGTGGTGTGGTGCGGGATGCAGTGGCGGCAGGGCACCGACCAGTTGTTGAAGGGCGCGGCGCGCTTGGCGAACTCGAGGTGCAGCAGGTCGATCTGCTCGAGCACGCGCTCGCAATGTGCTAGTGTGAGTGTGTGGTGTGGTGCGGGATGCAGTGGCGGCAGGGCACCGACCAGTTGTTGAAGGGCGCGGCGCGCTTGGCGAACTCGAGGTGCAGCAGGTCGATCTGCTCGAGCACGCGCTCGCAATGTGCTAGTGTGAGTGTGTGGTGTGGTGCGGGATGCAGTGGCGGCAGGGCACCGACCAGTTGTTGAAGGGCGCGGCGCGCTTGGCGAACTCGAGGTGCAGCAGGTCGATCTGCTCGAGCACGCGCTCGCAATGTGCTAGTGTGAGTGTGTGGTGTGGTGCGGGATGCAGTGGCGGCAGGGCACCGACCAGTTGTTGAAGGGCGCGGCGCGCTTGGCGAACTCGAGGTGCAGCAGGTCGATCTGCTCGAGCACGCGCTCGCAATGTGCTAGTGTGAGTGTGTGGTGTGGTGCGGGATGCAGTGGCGGCAGGGCACCGACCAGTTGTTGAAGGGCGCGGCGCGCTTGGCGAACTCGAGGTGCAGCAGGTCGATCTGCTCGAGCACGCGCTCGCAATGTGCTAGTGTGAGTGTGTGGTGTGGTGCGGGATGCAGTGGCGGCAGGGCACCGACCAGTTGTTGAAGGGCGCGGCGCGCTTGGCGAACTCGAGGTGCAGCAGGTCGATCTGCTCGAGCACGCGCTCGCAATGTGCTAGTGTGAGTGTGTGGTGTGGTGCGGGATGCAGTGGCGGCAGGGCACCGACCAGTTGTTGAAGGGCGCGGCGCGCTTGGCGAACTCGAGGTGCAGCAGGTCGATCTGCTCGAGCACGCGCTCGCAATGTGCTAGTGTGAGTGTGTGGTGTGGTGCGGGATGCAGTGGCGGCAGGGCACCGACCAGTTGTTGAAGGGCGCGGCGCGCTTGGCGAACTCGAGGTGCAGCAGGTCGATCTGCTCGAGCACGCGCTCGCAATGTGCTAGTGTGAGTGTGTGGTGTGGTGCGGGATGCAGTGGCGGCAGGGCACCGACCAGTTGTTGAAGGGCGCGGCGCGCTTGGCGAACTCGAGGTGCAGCAGGTCGATCTGCTCGAGCACGCGCTCGCAATGTGCTAGTGTGAGTGTGTGGTGTGGTGCGGGATGCAGTGGCGGCAGGGCACCGACCAGTTGTTGAAGGGCGCGGCGCGCTTGGCGAACTCGAGGTGCAGCAGGTCGATCTGCTCGAGCACGCGCTCGCAATGTGCTAGTGTGAGTGTGTGGTGTGGTGCGGGATGCAGTGGCGGCAGGGCACCGACCAGTTGTTGAAGGGCGCGGCGCGCTTGGCGAACTCGAGGTGCAGCAGGTCGATCTGCTCGAGCACGCGCTCGCAATGTGCTAGTGTGAGTGTGTGGTGTGGTGCGGGATGCAGTGGCGGCAGGGCACCGACCAGTTGTTGAAGGGCGCGGCGCGCTTGGCGAACTCGAGGTGCAGCAGGTCGATCTGCTCGAGCACGCGCTCGCAATGTGCTAGTGTGAGTGTGTGGTGTGGTGCGGGATGCAGTGGCGGCAGGGCACCGACCAGTTGTTGAAGGGCGCGGCGCGCTTGGCGAACTCGAGGTGCAGCAGGTCGATCTGCTCGAGCACGCGCTCGCAATGTGCTAGTGTGAGTGTGTGGTGTGGTGCGGGATGCAGTGGCGGCAGGGCACCGACCAGTTGTTGAAGGGCGCGGCGCGCTTGGCGAACTCGAGGTGCAGCAGGTCGATCTGCTCGAGCACGCGCTCGCAATGTGCTAGTGTGAGTGTGTGGTGTGGTGCGGGATGCAGTGGCGGCAGGGCACCGACCAGTTGTTGAAGGGCGCGGCGCGCTTGGCGAACTCGAGGTGCAGCAGGTCGATCTGCTCGAGCACGCGCTCGCAATGTGCTAGTGTGAGTGTGTGGTGTGGTGCGGGATGCAGTGGCGGCAGGGCACCGACCAGTTGTTGAAGGGCGCGGCGCGCTTGGCGAACTCGAGGTGCAGCAGGTCGATCTGCTCGAGCACGCGCTCGCAATGTGCTAGTGTGAGTGTGTGGTGTGGTGCGGGATGCAGTGGCGGCAGGGCACCGACCAGTTGTTGAAGGGCGCGGCGCGCTTGGCGAACTCGAGGTGCAGCAGGTCGATCTGCTCGAGCACGCGCTCGCAATGTGCTAGTGTGAGTGTGTGGTGTGGTGCGGGATGCAGTGGCGGCAGGGCACCGACCAGTTGTTGAAGGGCGCGGCGCGCTTGGCGAACTCGAGGTGCAGCAGGTCGATCTGCTCGAGCACGCGCTCGCAATGTGCTAGTGTGAGTGTGTGGTGTGGTGCGGGATGCAGTGGCGGCAGGGCACCGACCAGTTGTTGAAGGGCGCGGCGCGCTTGGCGAACTCGAGGTGCAGCAGGTCGATCTGCTCGAGCACGCGCTCGCAATGTGCTAGTGTGAGTGTGTGGTGTGGTGCGGGATGCAGTGGCGGCAGGGCACCGACCAGTTGTTGAAGGGCGCGGCGCGCTTGGCGAACTCGAGGTGCAGCAGGTCGATCTGCTCGAGCACGCGCTCGCAATGTGCTAGTGTGAGTGTGTGGTGTGGTGCGGGATGCAGTGGCGGCAGGGCACCGACCAGTTGTTGAAGGGCGCGGCGCGCTTGGCGAACTCGAGGTGCAGCAGGTCGATCTGCTCGAGCACGCGCTCGCAATGTGCTAGTGTGAGTGTGTGGTGTGGTGCGGGATGCAGTGGCGGCAGGGCACCGACCAGTTGTTGAAGGGCGCGGCGCGCTTGGCGAACTCGAGGTGCAGCAGGTCGATCTGCTCGAGCACGCGCTCGCAATGTGCTAGTGTGAGTGTGTGGTGTGGTGCGGGATGCAGTGGCGGCAGGGCACCGACCAGTTGTTGAAGGGCGCGGCGCGCTTGGCGAACTCGAGGTGCAGCAGGTCGATCTGCTCGAGCACGCGCTCGCAATGTGCTAGTGTGAGTGTGTGGTGTGGTGCGGGATGCAGTGGCGGCAGGGCACCGACCAGTTGTTGAAGGGCGCGGCGCGCTTGGCGAACTCGAGGTGCAGCAGGTCGATCTGCTCGAGCACGCGCTCGCAATGTGCTAGTGTGAGTGTGTGGTGTGGTGCGGGATGCAGTGGCGGCAGGGCACCGACCAGTTGTTGAAGGGCGCGGCGCGCTTGGCGAACTCGAGGTGCAGCAGGTCGATCTGCTCGAGCACGCGCTCGCAATGTGCTAGTGTGAGTGTGTGGTGTGGTGCGGGATGCAGTGGCGGCAGGGCACCGACCAGTTGTTGAAGGGCGCGGCGCGCTTGGCGAACTCGAGGTGCAGCAGGTCGATCTGCTCGAGCACGCGCTCGCAATGTGCTAGTGTGAGTGTGTGGTGTGGTGCGGGATGCAGTGGCGGCAGGGCACCGACCAGTTGTTGAAGGGCGCGGCGCGCTTGGCGAACTCGAGGTGCAGCAGGTCGATCTGCTCGAGCACGCGCTCGCAATGTGCTAGTGTGAGTGTGTGGTGTGGTGCGGGATGCAGTGGCGGCAGGGCACCGACCAGTTGTTGAAGGGCGCGGCGCGCTTGGCGAACTCGAGGTGCAGCAGGTCGATCTGCTCGAGCACGCGCTCGCAATGTGCTAGTGTGAGTGTGTGGTGTGGTGCGGGATGCAGTGGCGGCAGGGCACCGACCAGTTGTTGAAGGGCGCGGCGCGCTTGGCGAACTCGAGGTGCAGCAGGTCGATCTGCTCGAGCACGCGCTCGCAATGTGCTAGTGTGAGTGTGTGGTGTGGTGCGGGATGCAGTGGCGGCAGGGCACCGACCAGTTGTTGAAGGGCGCGGCGCGCTTGGCGAACTCGAGGTGCAGCAGGTCGATCTGCTCGAGCACGCGCTCGCAATGTGCTAGTGTGAGTGTGTGGTGTGGTGCGGGATGCAGTGGCGGCAGGGCACCGACCAGTTGTTGAAGGGCGCGGCGCGCTTGGCGAACTCGAGGTGCAGCAGGTCGATCTGCTCGAGCACGCGCTCGCAATGTGCTAGTGTGAGTGTGTGGTGTGGTGCGGGATGCAGTGGCGGCAGGGCACCGACCAGTTGTTGAAGGGCGCGGCGCGCTTGGCGAACTCGAGGTGCAGCAGGTCGATCTGCTCGAGCACGCGCTCGCAATGTGCTAGTGTGAGTGTGTGGTGTGGTGCGGGATGCAGTGGCGGCAGGGCACCGACCAGTTGTTGAAGGGCGCGGCGCGCTTGGCGAACTCGAGGTGCAGCAGGTCGATCTGCTCGAGCACGCGCTCGCAATGTGCTAGTGTGAGTGTGTGGTGTGGTGCGGGATGCAGTGGCGGCAGGGCACCGACCAGTTGTTGAAGGGCGCGGCGCGCTTGGCGAACTCGAGGTGCAGCAGGTCGATCTGCTCGAGCACGCGCTCGCAATGTGCTAGTGTGAGTGTGTGGTGTGGTGCGGGATGCAGTGGCGGCAGGGCACCGACCAGTTGTTGAAGGGCGCGGCGCGCTTGGCGAACTCGAGGTGCAGCAGGTCGATCTGCTCGAGCACGCGCTCGCAATGTGCTAGTGTGAGTGTGTGGTGTGGTGCGGGATGCAGTGGCGGCAGGGCACCGACCAGTTGTTGAAGGGCGCGGCGCGCTTGGCGAACTCGAGGTGCAGCAGGTCGATCTGCTCGAGCACGCGCTCGCAATGTGCTAGTGTGAGTGTGTGGTGTGGTGCGGGATGCAGTGGCGGCAGGGCACCGACCAGTTGTTGAAGGGCGCGGCGCGCTTGGCGAACTCGAGGTGCAGCAGGTCGATCTGCTCGAGCACGCGCTCGCAATGTGCTAGTGTGAGTGTGTGGTGTGGTGCGGGATGCAGTGGCGGCAGGGCACCGACCAGTTGTTGAAGGGCGCGGCGCGCTTGGCGAACTCGAGGTGCAGCAGGTCGATCTGCTCGAGCACGCGCTCGGCGTCGTCCAGCGCCAGGCGGCGGCGCTGCGTGAGCGCGCCCAGCCGGTCCCACTGCGCGCAGATGCGCTGGCAGCGCGCGTTCACCGCGCCCACCTCGTGGTACTCCAGCGTGCTGCACAACCCTCACTAATATAATACCACTGCCTGAGAATACCGTGCAGTGGCGGTATAACAATATCCACTACTCCATATCATATCGTGGATGTCGTAAACAGCGACAGAGGGAAACAAATCAGGAGATGGGTAGCAGAGTTATCCTAATAATGACTAAAAATAAAAAATAAACTGCGGTTGTCAACCCGCTTGCCAAGGCATGGAGGCTATGGCAAATGTCCCGCCTATGGCGGAGCAGTGGATTTAAATAGGCTGTAACGAAGAATAGGGATAACTCCCGATATTGTTTTCGAATTCGATTAGGTTTTCGATACAAAATGACGTTGTTCCTAAACTGATTATTTATTTATTATTTTTAAACGAATTTGTCTATGAGCGAGCACATCGTCCCGTTCCGACTTTGTTTATTGAATAAAAGTATTTATAATATAACTAATTACTACAACTGAACAACAAAATTAGAAAATAAAATAATATATTATCAAAAGTTCTGTGCAAGAAACACGTGCGACTATAAATAATCGCTCTTAAGCAATAAGCAATACCATAAAGAATCATACTTATTCCTTACACAGAATCAAATCTGCCAGCTTAATCAGCATTTTAACTTCTCCAACATCTAATAAGCCACAATACTATTCAAGGTGCCAATGTGAAAATTCCTACCACTATCAAAACATAACATTCTAACTACTCCATTCTGTACACGTAAAACTGTGTACGTTTAAAAACGTACTTACTGTACCGTCTTACTGTATTTACAACTTATTGTAAGAACACACACACGCGAACACATGCATCTTAAATCACTGGCAACAAACAACACGGTTTTAAGTACATATGAGTGCGTCCAGCAGTGATCTTTGATGAGATGATAAAAAAAGAAAAAAGACATGTGTGCGTGAGTCTGCGTCAAGAAGTTGAACTCCTTCTTATCTTAATTTATTGGTTGGAGGTGAGAAGTAAAAAAATACTTTTACTTCTTTTGCTGGCTTTTGTTGGTTAAAAAAAAGACCATTTATAAATTTATTGATATAACTAATGGTTGGCTTATTTTACCGTGAGAAAAAAATTGTGTATAACAGGTAAAAAAGGTTGACGATAAGGTATAGAAAATTTAATTTTTTGGGATTAGGGCCGACCCTGGGTTAGCCAAATTTGATGTTTATCGTAAGAACTAACATTGTTCAACTATATAGGATCATCATCAACATTATCATCATTACAGCCCTTCATAAGTCCACTGCTGAACATAGGCCTCCCCCAAAGAATGCCACAAAGCACGGTCCTAAGCCACCTGCATCCATCGACTTCCTGCATGTCTTACCAGGTCGTCACTCCATCTCATGGGGGGACGCCCTACACTTCGCCTACCGGTACGAGGCTGCCACTCGAGAACCTTTCTTACCCATCGGTTGTCGGTTCTTCGAGCTATATGGCCGGCCCACTGCCACTTTAGCTTACTAATCCGTTGGGCTATGTCGGTTACTCTGGTTCTACTGCGGATATCCTCATTCCTAAGTTTATCACGCAGAGAAACTCCGAGCATAGCCCTCTCCATAGCTCGCTGAGCGACCTTGAGCTTCCTCATACGGCCAGCAGTGAAGGACCACGTCTCAGTTCCGTAAGTCATCACTGGCAACACGCACTGGTTGTACAATTTCGTTTTCAGGTTTTGAGGTATGTCTGACGAGAAGATGTGTCGTAGCTTCCCGAACGCTGCCCAGCCGAATTGAATCCGTCGATTGACCTCTCGGTCGAAGTTGGACTTACCTAGTCGGACTATTTGTCCCAAGTAAACATACTCGTCAACAACTTCGAGCTTAGTGCTCCCAACAACTACCGGCATAGGTGTGACATGGACATTGAACATGATCTTTGTTTTGTCCATGTTCATCTTAAGACCTATCCGTTGGGAAACACTATCGAGGTCATTGAGCATAGTGCTTAGGTCCTCCAGCGATTCTGCCATAAGGACTATATCGTCGGCAAATCGAAGGTGAGTGATGTACTCGCCATTGATGTTGGTACCGTATCCTTTCCAGTCCAGAAGCTTGAAAACGTCTTCCAATGCAGCGGTGAAGAGTTTCGGGGATATGACGTCACCCTGTCTTACACCTCTCTGCAATTGGATAGGTTTCGTACTCTGGTTCTGTACTCGGATAGCCATCGTAGCCCTACTGTACAAGCACTTCAACACTTCGATATACCGACAGTCAACTTGGCACCGCTGAAGGGACTGCAGCACCGCCCAAATTTCGACGGAATCAAAGCCTTTCTCATAGTCCACATACGCCAGACATAGTGGCAAATTGTACTCTTCGGACTTCTGTACAATTTGCCGAAGGGTATGTATGTGGTCTATGGTGCTAAAGCCCTTTCGGAAACCGGCTTGTTCGGGAGGCTGGAAGTCGTCAAGTCTGCGCGCGAGACGATTCGTAATGACTCTTGAAAACAGCACGTAGACGCGGCTCAGAAGGGAAATCGGTCTGTAGCTCTTCAAGAGAGCGTTGTCACCTTTCTTGAAGAACAAGACCACCGCACTTCTGCTCCACGCCTCCGGTGTAATGCCACCATGGAGGACGGAATTAAAGAGCTTCTGAAGGACTTCAAGTACCGGTCTTCCACCCGCTTTCAGAAGCTCCGCTGTAATTCCATCCTCGCCTGGGGCCTTACCGTTTTTAAGGTGCTGGAGAGCCATTCTAATCTCGCTCAGACTGACGTCCGGGATATCTTCGGAATAGTGTCGGATGAGACTCGCTCTTGGATCGTTACTCACACTTGCGTGTGGCTCCAACGATGACGTGTACAGCTGCCCATAGAACCTCTCAATCTCACTCAAAATCTCAGGTGTCCCGGAAACGATGCTGCCACACTCTGTCTTCAGCTTTGACAGGTGGCTCTTTCTGGCAGACAGATCTCTGGCAAAGACTTTGGAGCCTTGGTTCCGCTCGATCGCTTCTTCAATACGAGCTGTATTGAAGTTGCGTAAGTCCCGCCGCATGCATTTGGAGATCTGTCTGTTCAGATGCCTGTATGCTGTCAAGTCTGTTGAAGAATGTAGCTTCATCTCCCGTCTAACAGCCATGAGATTAAGAGTGTGATCGGAGAGTTTTTGTGTTCTTCTGCGGCGGGTCTTGCAGAACTTAGCTCCGACCGCATGGACAGTTTCCACGAGCTTGTCATTCATATACTATACTATATAGGATATGTTAACTTATTTGTAATTAATATAAATCTACGTACTTAAGCTCTTGAGCGATGGCGGCGATTTGTTCGACACGGTCTTGGTGCGCGGCGAGGTCGGACTCGAACGCCTCGTGCTTCTTCTTTAGCGCTTTGATGTCGTACAGCTTGCATTGACGGTAGTCTTGCGATTGCAGCATCTCCTCCTTGCCTGAAATAGTTATCATTTCATTAATAAAAATTGTTTATATGGCTTACAAACGGTTCGAACTAAATACAACGTTGTAGTAGTTTATTAAGTTTTATATACTACTGGATAGATTTCAATTAGATTTTATAAATTTTATTTCTTAGTCACTTGACCCTTATCCAAAAAGAAAAAATATTGCGAGATTAATTTAATATAAAGTTATTAAAGTTTTAACAAACAACGATTTTTATAAGCACTACGTGTTCAGTGATGTGTGTAATCAACGCGGACGAAGTCGCGGGTCTCGGCTAGTGTTTTGATAAATCAAAGGCTCAATGATTTTTATATAGTGAGAAACAGCTAACTCACAAAATGCGTATTACATAAAGTATAAAGTAGATAACTTTAATACCAAAAAAATTTGCCAAAGCGAAAGAGTGGGTGGGTGAGTACATAAGCGTGTGTAAAATAAAGGGAACATAAGGGATTTGGTGAAGCATTATTCACCTTTCATAATAGATTATGTATAAGTTAATACATATTTAAATAATGGCTTTCACCTCTAGTCCAGTCCTCATGGATGTCAGCCTTGTGTTTGAACTTCTGCGCGAGGTACTCCAAGCGTTCGAGTCTCATCATCTCGCTAAGTAGCCATTCTTCGAACGCTTTCTCAGCGATCTCCAGACCCTTCCAGGCCTGAGCAATATCCTGAAAGTAATAGCGAACATAGAAAAGATTCCAAAGTAAAACTGAAAATGTTTCATTAAGTTTGCTGGTTAGAAGAAATGTGTTTCTTAAAAAATATAAATAAAGAGAAAAAATTTAAATACTTACAGAGACCATCTTGCCTTCAGTGGGCATATAAGCAGGTCGGTTACTCAGACGTAGTTTGGTCTGCAGAGTGTTGAAGTTGGTTTCTAGCTTGGCTTTCTGTTCTACACGTGGTGGTTTGTGCTTACGCCTGAAAGGAAATACGTTTTTTTTTAAATATTACAAAATTATGAAATCTATTATAATAGATGGACAGAATACATTGCAAAACCAGGTATTGGTTGAAAACCAGATCAAAAAAAATTTGTAGGGATTTTAAAACTAAAAAAAAAAGTATGAAACAGCTTACCTGTAAGTGCGATAGTCTTCCAGCTTTTTCTGGCACCCGGAAAGTGAGTTGTCGGTTTGGCGGCTGTTCAGCCAAGGCATGGTTCGCCGGATCCATTCCAAAAGCTGCGTGAATCATAAATTAAAATATTATTAGCATGTACATTTTTATATCTAAATTACGTACAGTTCGAATAAATTTATTACAATTATAAATCAAAATACAATTTGGAATACAATTGAGCAAAAGTTTGGTTTTCACTTTACCAAATCAATAAAAAAAATAAAATAAAAAAAAACCTTGACGGTTTGATAAACCGAACAAAATACGCAAGAGAAGCTACGGCTGTAGATACAGTCTTACGTTCCACAGCTGGTTTGAGGCTTCCTACTCTTTCTGAGAGCATTATTTAGTAATTAGTCCGTCTTGGTCGTGTGGCTCCAAGTGCATGTTGGTGAAAATCGAAAAATCATCACGATGTTTTCCTTCACTACAGCTGCGAGTAAAGTTACTAAAGAAAATTATATTATACAATATATTCATGTGATGGGAGTGAGAGTGAAAAACAGCTATATTCCTCTTGGTGTTATGAGTGGAGGAATTCATTCAATTCAAGACCTGGTTACCATTATGTCTGCTAAGCAGTTTGGTATCTAGTTGGATTCTCAGGTATTTTTTTTTATAGGACAAGGTGATTCCTCCTCAATTTAGAATCAAAATGCAGATGCTTTGTCACCTCTGAAGCTCGTTTGATAACAAGACACAAACCAGGATAATTTGTCATCAAAGCAAACCCTTTTAGGATTTGCACAAATACTTTATTAAAATGTGTAGTTGGTTGCATGACAAAATGGACATCTATTTCGTATACTTACGTCGCTGGCGAGACGCTCGTACTCTTCCATGAGGCGTTCATTCTCCTGGTTGACTTTGAGAACTTTGCAGATACGGTTCGCGGCCGTTTCAGCCTATTTTGTATAAAAGATAAGAAATTAGTTTAGTTTGTGGTAGTCGTTTGAAGATATTATTAATTTTTAGTGTGTTTACAATTTTTTTAACAATATTGAATAATATTTAAGGTGAAATAATCAATATTGATTATTTCACCTTAGTGATTTGATTATTACACCTGGCTGACAGTTAATTTAAGCATTTTCAAAACGTTTTATCATGAAGGTAAAATGCACTAAGGTTATTCGACTGTTAACTACAATACACTGTTTCGAATAAAGATGAGATACTCTAAAATTAGCGTCAACATTTAAACATTATCAGAAAATAATCCATAAAAGTATTTTGCAAAGATTTTTTTACTTATCTTGAGAAGAACTGATTTACATTTGCTATATTGAATTAATTTTGTCACTTGCTTCCTTAACTTGATTAATGCAATTGGAACGTCACTTTAACCATTGTTATAGTAGATTTATATTTAGGCAACTTCTTTTTTTGTAGGATAAGTGTGACAAACGAGCACATAGTCCACCTGATGGTAATGACCCCATAGACATCTACATCTATCCTCGATTATGAATTAAAATGCAAATGCGTTTTCACCCGTGAGGTCTAAGATGGAATGCCTAGTTTCCAGTAGAGTCTCAGGTTCTCTACACTCACCATACGAAACCCAGCAGTATTAAGCTGCTATATTTTACGCTGGTATTCTTCCCCGGTCGAGCCGACCCATTCGTGCCACAACTATACTACTAATATAGCTGCAGCATGGCTCTACACGTAAAAACGTAAAAATTAAATTGAAAACTGTTTTAACGGGATCGATAGTTGTTATTAACACGTTTTTATTAAGTAGTACCACGTTTTTATTAAGTAGCTTTCTTGTCTGTTCGGTAATAACTTTGCAATTGGTTTTTAATGATTTTTCCGATGACCTAGACAAAATGCAGATGCGTTGTCACCCGTGAGGACTAAGATGGAATGCCTCATTTCCAGTAAAAAGGGCCTCCGGCCACCTGCATTCACCAAGCGTAACGCAGAGGTAAACCTCTACTTCACGCTGGTATTCTGTGAGGTCGTGGTACCACCCCGGTTCGAGCCGGCCCATCCGTGCGACAGCAAAAGCTGCCGCGTGGCTCTACCACTGTTGTAAACCTGGTCGAGCCCCGACGGTTCTACAAAAAATGAGATTGACTTCATTATGACGACCAGACGACAACTGTTCAGTGATGTCTCAGTGATCGCGAGGGTGAAAACCGGCAGCGATCACCGAATGGTTAGAGGCACACTGAACCTAAACGTTAAGTTGGAGAGGTCTCCTCTAATGAAGTCAACGCTCCGTCCCCCTCGTGCTCTAATCCAAAGTCCCGAAACCTTTCAGCTCGAGTTACAAAACCGTTTTTAGTGCCTAGAAGACTGCAATGAAGTGGACGATAAGAATGACAAGCTCGTGGAAACTGTCCATGCGGTCGGAGCTAAGTTCTGCAAGACCCGCCGCAGAAGAACACAAAAACTCTCCGATCACACTCTTAATCTCATGGTTGTTAGACGGGAGATGAAGCTACATTCTTCAACAGATTTGACAGCATACAGGCAACTGAACAGACAGAACTCCAAATGCATGAGGCGGGACTTACGCAACTTCAATACAGCTCGTATTGAAAAAGCGATCGAGCGGAACCAAGGCTCCAAAGTCTTTGCCAGAGATCTGTCTGCCAGAAAGAGCCAACTGTCAAAGCTGAAGACAGAATGTGGCAGCATCGTTTCCGGGACACCTGAGATTTTGAGTGAGATTGAGAGCTGTACACGTCATCGTTGGAGCCACACGCAAGTGTGAGTAACGATCCAAGAGCGAGTCTTATCCGACATTATTCCGATGATATCCCGGACGTCAGTCTGAGCGAGATTAGAATGGCTCTCCAGCACCTTAAAAACGGCAAGGCCCCAGGCGAGGATGGAATTACAGCGGAGCTTCTGAAAGCAGGTGGAAAACCGGTACTTGAAGTCCTTCAGAAGCTCTTTAATTCCGTCCTCCATGGTTGCATTACACCGGAGGCGTAGAGCAGAAGTGCGGTGGTCTTGTTCTTCAAGAAAGGCGATAACACTCTCTTGAAGAACTACAGACCGATTTCCCTTCTGAGCCGCGTCTACGTGCTGTTTTCGGGAGTCATTACGAATAGTCTCGCGCGCAGACTTGACGACTTCCAGCGTCCCGAACAAGCAGGTTTCCGAAAAGGCTTTAGCACCATAGACCACATACATACCCTTCGGCAAATTGTACAGAAGTCAGAGGAGTACAATTTGCCACTATGTCTGACGTATGTGGACTATGAGAAAGCCTTTGATTCCGTCGAAATTTGGGCGGTGCTGCAGTCCCTTCAGCGGTGCCAAGTTGACTGTCGGTATATCGAAGTGCTGAAGTGCTTGTACAGTAGGGCTACGATGGCTATCCGAGTACAGAACCAGAGTACGAAACCTATCCAATTGCAGAGAGGTGTAAGACAGGGTGACGTCATATCCCCGAAACTCTTCACCGCTGCATTGGAAGACGTTTTCAAGCTTCTGGACTGGAAAGGATACGGTATCAACATCAATGGCGAGTACATCACTCACCTTCGATTTGCCGACGATATAGTCCTTATGGCAGAATCGCTGGAGGACCTAAGCACTATGCTCAATGACCTCAATAGTGCTTCCCAACGGATAGGTCTTAAGATGAACATGGACAAAACAAAGATCATGTTTAATGTCCATGTCACACCTATGCCGGTAGTTGTTGGGAGCACTAAGCTCGAAGTTGTTGACGGGTATGTTTACCTGGGACAAATAGTCCGACTAAGTAAGTCCAACTTCGACCGAGAGGTCAATCGACGGATTAAACTCGGTTGGGCAGCGTTCGGGAAATTACGGCACATCTTCTCGTCAGGTATACCTCAAAACTTGAAAACGAGACTGTACAACAAGTGCGTGTTGCCTGTGATGACATACGGAACTGAGACGTGGTCCTTCACTGCTGGCCGGATGAGGAAGCTCAAGGTCGCTCAGCGAGCTATGGAGAGGGCTATGCTCGGAGTTTCTCTGCGTGATAAACTCAGAAATGAGGATATCCGCAGTAGAACCAGAGTGACCAACATAGCCCAACGGATTAGTAAGCTGAAGTGGCAATGGGCCGGCCATATAGCTCGAAGAACCGACAACCGATGGGGAAAAAAGGTTCTCGAGTGGCAGCCTCGTACCGGCAGGCGAAGTGTTGGGCGTGAGCCACTGATGCAGGTGGCTCAGGACCGTGCTTTGTGGCATTCCTTGGGGGAGGCCTATGTTCAGCAATGGACTTGTGAAGAGCTGTAATGATGATGATGATGATATCTTTTCACTATCACTACAGCCTTCCACAAGTCCACTGCTGAACATAGGCCTCCCTCATAGATTACCACAAAATATTGTTATGATCCACCTTCATCCATTGGGGCCTTCATCAGCTTTTCGTCAGGTCGTTTCACAATATAGGGGAGGGATCGCTCAACATTATGAGGCTAACAAATAATATAAGTTTTATTGTTGCTCTTGTCGTATAACCAAAATTGCCTAAATATAACCACTGGTCTGGGGTACTTAACAGTCAAATAGCCTTTTCCGACGCTTGCAATACAAACCTTCTGTGCGCCTGAGAAGCAATGGTAGTAGGAAGAGACGTAGGTCATGACGGCGCGTTCGTCTGGCATCGCCGTGTTCTGGAGATCTAGCGAGCGGCACGCGAGCGACAACGGGTTAGTTTACATGCGAACTTATTATACTCGTTTACGAACAGAATGCTTGAATATGAAAATATAATAAAAAATAACGTTCATTGTTGAGTACCATGTTGTTTGAATTATTAATTTATATATTTATTGCGTTTACAATAAATATATAAATGCATCAGCAGTAGACTTGAGTTTGCGGGTTTGTGTGGTAATTAAATTTTGATGCAGGTAACGTGAGTTAACGATTAGACGGCCCGTGTCCTTGCTATCGATGTACCGGCTCATTATGTTGTGAGTCACGTCATGCGTGGCTTTTTAGTTTTTAGATATTGAGTGTGTTATTGATATTTCAGAGTTGTTCACATTGCTTTCAAATCCAATACTCCTTTGTACTGAGTGATTGGTCAGATAGGAAGGTAACGAAGATTGCTGTGTAATAAGTAAACTGGACACAGGCCTCTCTCATAGTAGGGATTTGCTATAATTATAATTATAAAGGTAATTATATATACAAATTATATGTGATGATGTATATGTGTATATACAAGTGAAATATAAATATTTCTTGTAGTGGAAAATAACTGTAAGTTTTAGGAGAGGGCTGCAAGCATTCTGTTTGTGATCTTAATTATAACACAAAGAGTTATTAACGAAAAGCTAAAACATTAAAGTATATTTAGCGTTACTGTGTTTTAGCATGTATATGAGTTCAAATATCTATAAAGGATTTTATTTATTTAAAAAATGATATGATGGCTTCTTCGAAAATCAAAGAGGTTTCAATTCTAAAAATACACTCGGATCATGCTATAAGTGACACACATGGCCTGGCGTTAAGGGATCGGTATCATTGGGAGTTGGCGGTAGCGGCAGCCATTTTCATTTTTTTTCTATACCTGTTGTGCGCCTTGGAACGCGTGGTAGTAACATGACACATAGGTCATAATGGCACGTTCGTCCGGCTTTGGCGTGTTTATGAGGTCTGCAATATTCAGTCATGTCCAATGTAAATAATCAATATATAGGTAAACAATAAATTATATATCTTGTGATTTGATAGGCCGCATGAATTCCTCACCATAATTTTATTGCAGCTGAGAGAACTATAACTTTAAAGAACGATTATTAAAGTTTCTTATTGTTTCATAATGAACACAAAAGTTTCAATTTAGTGATATAATTAAAACAAATTTTATCTGATCTTGCAACTATATGTAGTTTTATGCCGACGAAAAACATGTACCTTATCTTTGTAAAAAATTCATTAGTTTCGGCAATATAATTAGTACTATATTAATGTTGCACTCGCAATGTAACACTCGCTGCCCGCAGTGTAATAAAATGGGAAAACAGGACGCCATCGCCGTCTGTTGCGCTTTGCGCTCTCTGTCGCACTTACGGGTCTTGCGGCGGGCCTGCCGAGAGCGCAAAGTGCAACAGGCGGCGCGTCGCGGCGTCCTGTTTCTCCATTTTATTGCACCGCGGGTAGCGAGTGTTTAACATTAGAATAATTTAAGTCTAAATTGTAATAAAAATTTTATACAAGTAGCCTTATTTAAATTTTTTGTACTATTTGTGTAATCTATCTAATTAAAACGATTTAATGAATAAATGAAATAGTACGCAAATTAAAAAAAATGAGCCTAGCTTACCGTCGGGGTCCAACATGCGGGGGATGTCGAGATACTTCTCGGCCACATCGAATGCTGTGTTCAAGTTTTCTAGTGGATTGTCCTTGGACAGTTTGCTGTAGTCGATCAGGTCGGGCCTGTGCCTGTGGATAAGGGCACAGAATGCCAGACCGTCCTTGAATGACAAGTGGAAGTTCTGAACGTTGACGTTCTTGTAAGGTGCCGTCTTGCGTTGACACCAAAGAAGTAGACCTTCCTGCAATTGCACGAAAGACAAATATGAGGATTGTATAATATGTATATTTTCTTTTTTGTAGTTTGCCTAATACAGTATTTTATTTTTTATTTTGACGTCTTACCAATCAAGGTGATGGTGGTGTTAGAGAATCGTCTACCCCATTTATTTTCGCCGTATGGGTGTTGCAAAAGTTAATCAAGAGAAATGTCAAAAATTATCATGGCATATTTCACACAAGTGCCGACTTAGTACACAATTATTGCAAATCATACCAGTTTAGTAAAGGAGCCTCCTTTGTTCAGCGTTAGAGAGACGGAACAGAGTGTATATAAGTTGTGTAATATTGCAGTGGTTATTAAAAATATATTGCAATCACCTTTGTCAACAAATCTTATAACTAAGACATACTTAAGCAATAAAAGAACACCATACGAACGATTTCGTGTATGTCCAAATTTATTGGTATTTAAAAGAGATCATATCGACACTAATTTATTAGTGTTGCTCCATCATTGATCGAAGAGTCGGATAACACCTATCCGACTTTGCGATGAAAGTTCAATAACCTCAATAATGTTTTTGGTTTCAATTATATTATACTTACCGTATATCAATGATATACGGTAGTTTATTTAAGGGGACATTTCATTGGTTCATAGTAAATCTTAGCTTTGATCGGCCCCTAAAAGTCTATAGCTGGACATATAATCGCTAGAAGGGACTGGAGGTTTTTTGAATTAGTTTTAAATAATAGTTTATCATTATCTACAGTATTATATTAATATACAACACAATGCGTCAGTGGTTTGATTTTTAATTTTTTGCACTTCATATCTGTTTCTTTTATTTTTCTACTTTTAGTTATATTTATAGTTTGTTTTATTCATTTCTAATCTATTCAATATAAAATATAACTAATAATACACAAAGAAACATTAAAGTGTACATTTTCCTAAAAAATTATAGTCCCCGCTATGAAATCTGTCAAATATTTCAACTCATTGAAAACCCTCATTAGACATGTGTTAATTGTGAATGATTCGTTCATTTGATCCGGGGCGAATCAAAGCATTGATGATTACAAATACATTTTTGAACGTTCCAGATCCAACGATTGACAGGACCTACGACCAAAGAGTACAGTAATGTCCGACACTATCGAGAGGGTCTCACAGATCATAGAATACTGAAACTAGAAAGGATCCATTTGAATGATCGACCCGAATAACCCGGTTCGTAAGACGAATCAATATTTGAATGATCGGGTCACTAGAAATGATTGAATGACACATGTAGGTATTAGCTTGAATCACCACAGTTGGCAGGCAGTAGCAGTACATCTCGCACGTGCCTCGCCTCCTCCCCCTCCTTTAACTTCTGGCGTGAACGAGATGATAACACCACTATCTATCGGAAGCCATGAAATTTCCTCTTTCGACACCAACGGGCTAAAATAGGTTAATACAATATGTATTACCATACACAGTAAATGGTTGATGTATAATAATTAGAATATACCTTTGCGGTCATTTCTTCCACGGAGATGTCTTGGATGGCGAACCTGAGAATGATGGTCCAGATCATACCCAGGGTCATCTTGAGGTTACCGTCAACAATTTCTTCGGCGCCGATCGATACTAATTTTACACCTGAAAATAGAAAATGTTATCGTGTAATTTTAGTTTTAAAATACGTGACAATGTGAATTCCATTGCACTATATCCTATCCTCTTAAAAATAATTTGTGTATAAGTTGCAATAATTTATTGCAAATTACACAAATTATTTTAGTATTAGTATTGACACGAATTTAAGTAATTCGATAAATATAAGTTGATAAGTTGATCTTAGTTTTGCTATCAGTTGCTAAACAATATATAGGATAAAGTAATATTTGCCACCGATATAATTAATTAACTTCTAACCCCTTAAATTTAGTATAATTTTTTTAACTACTTCCAATGACGGACAATTGAGAAAATTGAGATGGATCGAAGAGATAATAGGGACCAATTGCTATTCTTCTCAATTAGGTTTAGTGTTTAAATAGTGTTTATACAAAATTAAAAAGAAAAGCAGCCAATTTTTAACAAGTTTTAAATGTGAAATAATTTTATTTTAATATCCAGTTTTGTTTTATATTTGTTATTGATATGCTAAACGGAACTGAGAATTTTATAAAAATAAACGATAACAATTTTCATATCGATTTGTCTCTTAAAATGACCAGCCTCTTTAGGTTTCACAGTTGATAGTTTGAATATTTTTTTAATTGAGTATACGGATTTTGATCCGTAATCAAGGATAAATGTAGATGTTTACGGGCTACAGCAACCACTTACGATTACGTGGACCCTTAGCCTATAAAAAAAACTACCGTTTTTTGGCAAAATTTGCTTATAGCGACAACTAAAGATTAGAAACAAGTAGCTGCTAATTATTATATAGACGATAATATAGTGCTACAAGTCACAAAAACACTTAATTTATTAAGAAATGATTATGCGGCAAAATCCGAGGTAGACGATGCAATAGAGACAATAGAGATACAGACAATCTCAACACTCCTGCAGTGCGATTGTATAACTTTGGTAGAAGTAATTTGCCGTTGGGACATCCAAACCGGATTAGGTTTTTTAATCAACATAATAATTTGGAATCTTTAATAAGGTATAAATACGAGACAGATATAATAAAATTGAAGCTGAAAAATATATGAAGAAACTGGAATTGATCATGAGTTGTGATGATCTTCTCACATATCTAATCATATATATTATTAATTAGCTCTGGGTAAAAACTGAATTAAGAAATTCCATATATACACACAGATCAACCTAATGAAAGTGTTCAAAATACATCGGTTTATTATCGATACTGATACAGCATGACACTACGGAGATGAAAACTAATCTGACTCGCATTTCAAAACCGATTAACCTGTTTAGATGACAAGAGGTCATATCACTTGGGAACAGACATATTTATACGTATAATAAATACAGGCAAGATAATCGAAAATTATTGCCCTTCTGATATAGACAGGTACAAAAACAGATTTAATTTAAGCATTATGCTTACGTGTCAATAAAATTCCAGTGACTTTATGTATTAAGGATTAAATAACGAATTTATCGCTCAGCAAAAGCATCTCAAGGAAACCTGCATTCCCGATGATGCTTGCGTACAAAAATGTCATATACTCGTAATGCGGAAAATATCCATTGAACATAACAAAGAAGGCATTAAGTAAAATTAAAAAAATATTAATTTTTTATTTTCCGTATGTACATAGATTTACAGAAGTATTTTTATAGCATTTGAAACGATATTTTAACTGGATATACTCGTAATATGGTTTCGAATTACGAAAAAACACTTTATTGTCTGCTTTTGTCTGCTGTTTCATTTTAAAAGAGAAATATTGAAATCTTAGTACAGAATGCTTCAAACAAGGACTCGATTAGTGCAAGGATTACTTGGCCGTGTTTCGTATGGTGAGCGAGAATAATTTTTTTACTGGTAACGAGGCATTACATCGTATTCCTCAGAGGTGACAACGCATCTACATTTTGATTCTTAATTTAGGATAGATAAAGGTGTCTTAGAGTCACAGTAGCTAGGTAGACTGTGTGCCCGTTCGTATTTATAGTGTGTATATAGTGTCGTTCATATTTATACATACATATATACATATAATCACGCCTCTTTCCCGTAGGGGTAGACAGAGACCACTTCTTTCCACTTGCTACGATCCTTACATACTTGTTTCGCTTCATCCACTTTCATTATTTCCTTCATACATGCTCTTCTGTTTAAGGTACTCTTGACCTGGCCTTTTTTCAAGACGTCCCTGATTTGGTCTAGAAACGTCCGCCTAGGTCTACCCCTTCCAACACTTTCATTCACACTCGCCTTATACACCTTTTTCGTCAATCGTTCTTCATTCATTCTCTCGACATGGCCAAACCATCTCAGCATACCTTTCTCAATTCTTGTCACTACATCTTCTTTATACCCTTGTTAATTTAGGCGTACCAGACTAGGAAATAATTTAGTGTTACCTACTAAAGTAAAATAGATGCAGACAGTAATGTAGTAATAATTCTATTTAAATGTCGTTCTTTTAGGTCTTCTGTTATCATGAAACATGCAAAGGCAAGTAGAATGCCTTGGCCTGGTTCGAATACTTAATGTTTTACACACACAAACGAAGTACTGATACGGTCTTAGCAATTAAATAATCGGTTATTAACATTTTAAATAGGCTGTAAAATTAATGAGCGATTTTAAATTATTGATTCACCTTTTTACTTTAGTGTAAATCTTAAGAACACGTTATCTTAAGAACACGTTAAATTTTAAGTCTCTTAACATTTTATAGTGTGTACTCTTATTCATTGCAATACATGGAAATACTTTAATAATGGTTAATGACGCATCCAGTCCAACTAATGTAGGTGGCCTGGCTTTATCACATCTGTTGATGAAAATTTGTTTTCAGTGCAAATAGATTTGGGCGAATGTTCGTGCTAACTGTATTTAATTACATCGCTGTGAAATCCAAAAAAAATCATTAAATATAAAATTTGAGGATGTGTAATAAGAATAAATATATTTCCAAAGGTTCTCGAATGCTACAGAGTAAAATGTAAAATAAATAAATAAAAAGTAAAATGAAATTTATATAATAATTATAAGACATTCACAACATAGCTATCTATTGCGACTTTACCTTTAGATGCGATGAAGTCCAAGGCTTTGTTGACATTTGCGATCTTGTGGAAGCGCATCTTGCCACGATCAGGTTTGGGCAGAGTTTCTCCGGAGATGACCTCCAGCAATAACATCAGCTTCAATCCATTTCTGAAATCTTCATCGATGTTTTCAATTCCGGTGCCGGCTTTTCTCAAGTGGCTGTTGCACCATGCTGTGAATGTCTGTGAAAACATATTCTTAATTAGATACTGGAAACACAAAAGCAAACAAGTGGTCAAATAAAAAATTTTGTACAACCGACTTCAATATAAATTATTAAGGATAACTCAAAAACTACTGGTCAGACCGTGATCACATTTATATTGGACCACATAAGAAGCACCAACCCGCTTTCAATTAAAAAGATAATCATCAAAATCATTTCACCGAGAAAATGTTATGAGTTAACACAAAAATAATAAAATATAAGTTATTAAGGATAACTCAAAAACTATTGGTCTGACCTTGATCAAATTCATATAGGACCACACGAGAAGTATCAGCTTTCATATAAAAAAAGAATCATCGAAATCGGTCCACCCAGTAAAAAGTTATGAGGTAACACACATAAAAAAAAAACATACGCGTCGAATTGAGTACCGTCTCCTTTTTGGAAGTCGGCAGAAAAAAGACAGATCATTTCAGATCAAATTAACGTTCGTACATCCCGCTGTAAGGGATAGGCAGGCAGACCTTTATAAAATAGATTTTTGTTATTGTAATTAAATAAAAAAAGGCAAGCAATAAAATAAAAATAAAGTAGAAGCTGGTTGCGTCGAGTCTACCTAAGATGCCAACTTGCCAGCAATTTGGAATACTTGAAGACCGTAAATTTATTATAAACTGATTAAAAACAAGAACTCACACGATCGTGAGCGATCACACGGATTATCAATTACTTTTGTACTTCTTCCAAAGAGATTTAAATATATAAGGTATACTAACTACTTAAATGTCTTTGACTTCTTCATGCGTTTATTCAAGCTATCCCAATATGGAAACGGCGAATCTTTAAGTTAAATTATTACATATCGTTTTATTATTATATTTTAAATTATCTATCTGCATATCTTTTAAGAATAGAGTGCAGTGTCTAATTGGGCGATTACAAACCATTCGGTAGATACGCAGAAATATTAAACGCCATTTAACTGGATTTCATGCGGAAAAGCTCGTTTATTAACTTACGTTTATTATAATAATCTATTAGCATTAGCACAATCATAGATTATATACAGAGGACATTGTTCTAAATCTAAAATTTTATAATTTTTAATTTAGAAAGTGAAAAACTCAGAATTTATTAATATTGTATCATAGGCTTTATTTGAAGAAACTTATTGTACTTCAAACTTGTATACTAAGAATGTTTATGTTATAATATGTTACCTAAATCAGAACAAAAAAAGTGTTTTGAATTTTTTGATCACTTTTGGAAGTTATAAATAATTCTTATTCAATATAAACCAACTCGATCGAACTTAACGATATAATAAAAATTATAGTGACATTAACAGGCAACCGTAAATTTTGTTGCCGCGTTTGTGTGGCATTTTTATTGGTTCCAGATTTGAGAATCTGCGTTGAGAAATTCCTTCTAAGTGTACGTAAGTAGTGCATATGTCGCAGGTTTATGATAAAACCTGGTTTTTGATCAAATACCTAGGCTTGTGATCAAGAACCGGGAGAAGACAACATTACTACTTTATGTTATCATAAGCCCGAGAAAATCCAGTTTTTTGATCAAAAATCTAGACTGATTTAGTTTTATGATAAAATCAATCTAGCCTAATCTAACCTAACCTTACTTAAGCTTAAATTTTATCATAAATCTAAACAAGCTCAAGATTTTGATCAAAAACAGGATTAGTTCAGGTTAATGATATGATGTCTTTTGTCTTCTTCCGGTTCTTGATCAATAGCCTAGGTTTTTGATCAAAAATGTGGTTGTTTCATAAAGCTGCAACATATATAGATAGTTACTCTAACTTTGTTTTTATACGAGTAAAAATAATAGGAGTGCAAGTTATTTATTTCAATGTATTAAGATTTTTGGATGTATGTAACCCTCTCGTAACTTTTAAATGGTTTGATCGATTTGAAGGAACTCGGCGGCGTTCGAAAGGGCTTCACTAAACTTAGATTTTCTATACCACTTGAACCGATTCGGAGCGGTAGATTTTGAGAAATCTCAAAAATAAAATTAAAAAAAAATGGTTTTTTTAAATAACTTTTCAATTCCAAAATCTAATCAGCTGTTCGCCGTCGATTGCTTGCAAACCGCATCAAAATCAGTTGATGAGTTGAAGAGAAATCGTTAACGAAAAATTTTGCAAAATAATTTAAAAAATTGGGTAATAATATATAGCAGCGCATGTTACGTGCTGCTGATGATTTGTGAAAAGGTCTTGTGTAAAGGGCTTAGGATAAGACAACGCATGGGCTGCTATTGTTTCATCCTAAACTATCAGTGTCCAACATAGCAGTTATGTGATAAGATGTTGTGTAAAGGGTTTACAGTAAGGCATCAGTGATGAGCGTTCGTTGAGGCGGTGCATTCGGTGTGCATACGAGTAATAAACGCACGCTCTTGTATTACAGTTGTAGTCGAAATATATGCCAAACACGCTATGCCGCATGCTGGAATCAGTCGCCGAATGCTTTCTTACTGAGGCCTTATCCTAAGCCTTCTTTACAGGATTGAAATTTACTGTCAATAAAATAGAGACAATAACAATGTAAGTATGTATTATGGGACGACTATTATGGAGAGACGCACTTAAATCATTCGACTTTACAAAGACTGTTATTCTAAATCTAATATATAATATACTTGTATATAATAGAAGGTAAAATTAATATATTATATTGTTTAAACTTCGACTTGCAACTATCGGCATTGCAAGGTGTGTGTACGCTTTTTTTGATCCTTAAATTTCTTATTTTTCGTCATAATTACGTCATAAGTTTCTACTGTACCAATATACACATTAAGTAGAAATTATTGATGATAATTCGTATAGAACGTAATATGTGAAATTACTTTTTTTTTAAGAGTCCCAATGTGTGATTTCCAATTTAATTTTGCATCAATCTAGCAATATATAATTTAAAAGGTTTTTCTTTACGATAATTTTTATTATGCTCACTTTATAAGATACGAGTACATGATACTTGTATCCCAGTTAAGTATCGAAAATAAAAAAAAATATTTTGCTTAGATGACAAAAAATACAAAATATAATTTAACATAATCGAAGTTGGGTTACAATTACGTAGTAAAGGTAGGTTAAGATCTTTGGTTAACAATAAAGCTGGTTGCAATGGCGTTGGGAAACACCAATTGCACTTGAGCAAATCAATACTGCAGTGTGCATCAGGTAGGGGAGCGACAGACGGGGGTCCGACCCTCGGCCAAATTTGCGAGGGGCTATTAGCACTCGCTATATGCAAACTTCCAATGGATAACTTTCTAACGCTGCTTGCGTTGCATTCAATTGACACAACCAATTTTAATTTGAGATCTTAGAATATACGTTCTGTAATAAACATTAATATTACTAAAAATAATTATCCCTTTTAAAAGTGAAGCAATTAAGAGTTCATTATGCGCGTTTGCACAATTTTATAAGTCACAATTATATTTGCAAAAGAAACTCCAGAACTTCTTACAGCATTTAATGATTGCCTTTTTTTTCAAGCTTTTTGTGAATGTTGATCGATTGATGTTATTAGAACCCAACTATTGCAATAATTTGCAAAATATGCGAAAAACATATTTAAAGTGAACCACGAATTTCTTAATTGAGATACAACCGAGATTGAATTACAAGCGAATTCTAAATACAAGACAATGTAAATAAGTACTTGGTTTTTAAACTGCTTTTTGAAGTAAACATTATATATTCGCGTTTAACATAACATTCGCCAACACTCGCATATTTTAGTACTATGAGTCAGTTTACAAGATTATCTTTTGAAGGTAGTCTGTGATATTTTCAGTAGCCCAGCTTCTTTTACGTCATTTGTTTAGCCCAACTGCTAAGCCGTCGATGCGGCTGAGATCATCGTAATTGACTCATGTATCTTACAACACTTTCCATAAATGTCTTCTAGAAGTGCAAAAATTTCAAGGTTACTGTTACCTGTGACTACTGAAGTCTTGGTAATTTTGTGGGGTTAAGTTTACATCGTGAAATGCAAATTTAAGTACTAAATTGTCACGTGCATGAAAACATCGTGAGAAAACCTTCATGTAGTGTCTGATTGTGTTTTCCTAAGTGGAACGATTCCTTTTCTGCTTAGTAGGTAGAGCCATGCTGCAGGTATATTAATAGTTTAGTTGTAGCACAAAAGGTTCGGCTCGACCGGACCACACTCTCCCTCAATACCAGCGTAAAATAGCAGCTTAACGCTGCTGTGTTTCGTATGGTGAGTGTAGAGAACCGGAGACCAATTTTACTGGAAAAGAGGCATTCTATCTTAGTCCTCACGGCTGACAACGCATCTGCATTCTAATTCGCAAACGTAGATAGATGTATATGTCTATCGGCCACAGCAACCACTTACCATCAGGTGGACTGTGTGCTCGTTTTTCACCCCTATTCTATAAAAAAAAGTCCGGCTAGATACCACCTTCTTACCTATTTCTGCCGACAAATAGCAGTGCTTACACTGCTATGTTCCGTTTTGAAGGGTTACAGCCAGTGTAATTACAGGCTATGAGGCATTCCATCTTATTCCTCAGCTTGCTCAGCTTGTAGCTTGCTTTATTTAAAGCTGGCTGCCGGTGTTCCAGCACTACAGTAGCCACTGTACATTAGGTGGAGTGTAAGTTCGTTCCACAATTCAGCTTTATAAAAAAAATGTATGACGAATAGAACTCTTTTGTCTTCACAAGTTGTAGTTTTTGAACATTATTCGACTAATGCGACATTTGCGAAACTTTCTTACGTTGGTCATATGCTTTGTGTACCAGGCAATTTAGTTGCATAATTATGTTAGAAATTGCAACGTAGTAAAATATAACTAGTATATATCATAGAGATTTTTATACTAATTGCAAAAGTTTAGTATAAAAGCAGAGTATATCTCGTTAGTAAAAGCATTGTCTGGAAACATATTTGTATAGAATAAGAATTGATAAAAGGTAAACTACCTTTTGTAGCTTAGACCTTACGAG